TATGGAAACGCTCGCCTTGCGATGTTTGACTTTGTATCAAGGACAAATAAGGTTAATTTGCCGAATTCCAACAAATAATGAGACGTTTTAGCTACACACATTTGAAGCTAACAACCTTCATTTTTAGAAGAGAAAGAGCATATCCTCCAGAATAGCAACCCTACATAAACACTGTGTTATGAGTATTACATCATTGGGTGTTTTAATGGCAAGACCCACTTAATGCTGTCTGTTGAGGATAATCAATGGAGTTACCAGTCAGAATGCTATCTGAGTTATGTAATTTGGCACATGGGGGGAATATGAAGTCAAGTTACAGGTCAATATCTAAGGTTGCCATTGTTGCCGTTTATAGAACTCATGATGATCGGTTGTGTAATGTTGGTGGTAACATACTATATGACATTTGAAGGATCATTTTATATTCAGCAATGCTAGTTCAGTACAGGGTTTGTCCGGAAAGTAATAGGACTGAGTCGATTTAAAAAAATTTATTGAGTCAATCGTACAATTCTTTCGCCATTTCCAAGCATTGAAGGCGTCACGGAAGGCATTTTCCGGAATAGCCTTGAGAGCCGCGGTGCATGCTGCTTGGATCCCCTCTGTCGTCTCCAAATGCTTGCCTTTCATCGGCCTTTTCAGGCGAGGAAACAAAAAAAAGTACGGGGGGGGGCACATCTGGGTTGTAGGGCGGCTGCGGAAGCATTGTGGTGCCGGCATTGGTCAGGTAGCTGTTTACAAGAAAGGCGGTGTGAGCCGGGGCGTTGTCATGGTGCAACTTCCAGTCGGCTGCGATGTCTTGTCGGACCCAACTGACCCTTCCTTTGAGTCTCCTGAGCACTTCCACGTAAAACTTGGCGTTGACGGTTTGTCCAGGAGGAACAAATTCATGGTGGACGATGCCTTTGATTTCAAAAAAGACAATGAGCATCGTTTTCACTTTGGATTTGCTCATTCTTCCCTTTTTTGGGCGAGGAGACGCCGTCGTGTGCCACTCGGAAGATTGCCTCTTTGTCTCGGGATCATACTCAAAGATCCACGACTCGTCACCTGTGATTACGTTATTAAAAAATTGGCGGTCACTTTCACACATGTTCAAATTTTCGTGGCACACTTCCACTCGCCGCAATTTCTGGTCGTCAGTGAGCACTTTTGGGACCATCTTCGCGTACACGTTGCGCATGTTCAAATGCTGTGTCACAATGTCATGAACCACAGATTTTGGTAAATTTAACATCTGAGCAATTAAACGATTACTTAGTCGACGGTCTGAGTTCATTATCGGTGTTTGTCGAATTCGAAGGTCTTCCAGCACGGTCTTCATCAGCGACCTCTTCCCGGCCCTCCAAAAAGGCCTGGTGCCACCGAAACACACCACTTGCTAAGGCAACACCTGGGTAAGCCTGCTTGATCATATCAAACGTCTCTGTCGCAGATTTACCGAGTTTCACACAGAATTTAATCGCGTACCTCTTCTCTAACGAACGCTGCATTTTCGGCTTGCACCACTCACAGAAACACGTCGCGCGAAAATGCCTGTCCTGACTCTCCAAGTGCTCGGAGACAACTGACCAGCCGCTCATTCGTTCTACCGAATCCAGTCGTTGCACGCACGCTCCGAAGTACAGTCATGACGAAAGAAAATTAGTCCTATGACTTTCCGGCAAACCCTGTATGTGTAACGTACAATGAACGATTTACTAATAATAAACCAAAACTGACCCCAAAGGGCTAGGAGATAATACTGAGCCATCATCTGTTTCTTGAAATTAAGATTATAGAGGACGAATGTTATTGCTACCATCAGGTTGTTCGTGTTTCTGTTGGTGACATGATGATAGAAGTGTTTAGTATAAGATAGAGATAATGATGTTTTTATGTAATTATTTCGTATTTCTCCTATAATTCAAAACGTCCTGAGGGATCAGATAGGGTTGCCGTATATTGCATTTTTGGTTGCAATTTGCAATGACCCTTCCATTTAACAGTTGCTTTCAAGGCCTTCGGATCGAACCCAAAATAATTGGACTCGTTTACTTTTTGAGCTTTGTATGGTTACAGTGGCGATGGCAGAAAAACGAAGCTTGTCAAGAGAACCAGTTTCAGCCCTTTTGCAAACCTAAAAAATAATACTTAAATCAGTTGAAAATTGGTATTGCCATACCGAATAGATATGGATTTGAGTATCGTATTTAGTTTTGTGGTATAGCTCAAGTTCTAGTTTTGACGTATTGTACATCGTTAAAAGCCTTTCTAAGCGATTTGTAACAAGTTACGAGTTGATATCAAATTACATGACCGATCCGCACATGCGGTGCGCAACGGATTTTGGATGTTTTCTGTCGATTCGTAATAAACATAGCGCCCATATCATCGCTCGTATCGGCAGTTTCGTTTACGATGGCTTCATAGAGGCGAACGTACGATAAAACGTACGACTGAGCAATAGCAATAACCTAGTAGATTTGCCTTACGCTCCGGCTACGTTGGGTATAACATTCGATGTTTGCTTAGGTTTGCTGCCTATAGTCGTCTGTATATCTAGCAATGAGATATTGATTTGACGCATGCTACTATTCAGCAAACCGAAACAGGTTCGCCTATCGTTCCAGAATCTGCTATCAGATTGGGCGATTTGGTTTGAATGTAATGATATACCTGCATATATATTTTTTCGTCTATTTGTCGAAGCGCTACCCAATGAATATCTGTGTTCCCAACAGCTCCTCAGGCCGGAAGTGAGTTAAATCAGATTGACTACGTATATGCAGAAACCGATTGTTAGATGCCTGTCCTTGATACGTTTGCATAGACCACTATTGTTTGCCAAGGAATAACTCTATAGTGAGTAAATTTCCTCACGATAGTTGGGGAAAAGAGAAATATAGTGGTGTCTTAAAACGATGTTAACACTGGTGTATGATATGATGTCACTTTTGTTAATCTACACGTGTGAACACATGCTGGCGTGAGTTTGCTTGAAAGCTCGACAGTTCATGCGGAGTGAAAATGATGTATTTTATTGAGATGGTTTTTATATTTCCCCGATTTGAATATTCTTATCAGCTGATAATCTGAAATAGTTTATTAGATACCTTGATTGAGAAGCCATTATTGGCCGAACACTTTTATATCGTGTGACACAGCGACGAAGGAGATAATGTGCGATAACTATCATTCACTAATAGTCTTCTCCACCAAGGTATGTATACATTTTTTTAATAACTTACGATTGTATGTTACCACATTTAATTTGATTAGATATTGAAATTTAACATATCTGATAATTTTCATGTCCAAACAAACACGCGAATTGTCTGGCACGCTGATAGAGTCCGACAAAGAAGATGCCACTCTTTAGTATTCAATAACTATTAGAGATATTAGAAAATGGATAAAGGATTTAATGGCAGTGACAATACCAACGAAGCTCCACATTCATTATTTACCTAGCGACTTATAATTTACAATTTGTGTGTGTCTAATTATTTTTTTTATAATAAACATAGATACTTTCTCTTTCCATTGTGCAGATGCTATCTTACCATGTGTGACAGTTATTTTTGAGGGTTTTTACTTTAGTACGCGAGGATCATAGATTTATGTAATCTGTAATAAGTATTTTATCCTTTAATAGTTGTATAAATCGCGGCAGCTTTTCAAAATTCCTCACGTCGTTCAGAAATACCTATATTAGCAAAGAATTACATTTGCATTGCTTCATGTGCACCGTCCGCGTATTATCTGCCCAGCGAGAGAAGCAAAACGGAGGAATGTGTGCAGGAAATGGCGATGTTTTCTGACATTGCGCATGGAATATAGTTCTTGGGCTACAATTTGGAAAACGTATTTATTGAAAATATTGCTCACGAAAAGAAAATTATAAAGTCATGAACATACTGAAAGTCTCATAGTTTTTTCAAGCTGTCTTGTGTGACAACACTGTATTTTTGGTATTAAATCCCTCACAGCAAATATCAACTTAGAATAAGCATCTGGAGAGACGACAGATACTACCAACACACCTTCCGTTTTCTGCAGCACCTCTCAGCGTTTCTCTCCTGCATTCTTTCGCTGGGCAAATTGTACATGCCGAATTCCTATTCGAAACGATCTATTATGAAAGAATTGCAGCTAACATTTTTTACAGAAAAGACTAATCTTGGGCTGTTTCGAATAGTAAATCCGAATGTATGTAACCGTCCTGTCCTGAAGATACGCATGTGTATAAAGTTCGTTTACTCATGTTCTTGTAAATCGGCACACCTAATTCTCAGCTTTTAGGAAGGATTGGGACTGGAACGCGTGGTTACTGCTTGATATTTCTAGGTATATACATGAAGAAACAAGGACACTGAACATTTTGCAATTTTGCAGGCCTATCTACACAATGACTATAAGCCACGTGCACAAGTACAGTGATGCGTCCTTACATTCTTGAATGATGTCGAATATGGCTATTATTCCACATTTCCTTAATTCGAGCTAACTCGTAAGGACCACTTTACACCCTGCGTGTATACGCCACCATCAATAGTTAGCGGCTAGATCAGCTGACAGCGGCTGAACATAGTAAACGTTGACGTTCAGTGATCGAACATTGTATCATTCTTTTACCTGTTATTGTGAACCTGTGATCCAAGGTTGTATGTATTAATTATTATTTAGATTCATGATGCAGTGCGAGTTTCACTGTCTATTTACCGTGATATTTGTTGCGAGTTGCGCAACTATTTAGTTACGTTTGACAGCTTGGCATTAATTACTTACTCTTACTGGCTCAAAGCCGACGAACGTTTGGTCGATTCCACGATCTATCGTCCAACCATACAGTGGATAATTTTTCCCTATTGTACATATGATTGCTGTAGTGAGACACGGAGAAGATATGCTGACATAATAAATGTCTTGTCACATTCCGTAACATGGAGAAATACTTCAGATGCCCAATAAGTATGTGGATGCAGCTATCATCAGCGTGCATACTTTTATACGTATTATGTGAATCTACCAACGCGTCGGTAATAAGAAACTTGCAAATATTTTTATTTTTGGTTTCTTTTAGTTAACGTATCGTTTTTGTTTGAAGTTCCACAATACTTTTGTTTCTGTTAATATAGTTAGTGTGTACCTTAGATATTTTTAAAGTTATGTCGTTCTGTTATATATTTTATTATAAATTATTCAATGCTATGTGAACTTTTGTGCCATTATGTACAGGTGATTTCACCCACCTTGTAGTTAGATAGTTAGTGTACAAATATGAATGAACGATTTCATATTTTGTTATTGGGCTCATGATATTGTATGGTATTTATTTTTTTAGTTGTGATAGTCTTTTTATGTCAGCGTGCCTTTTGTATTTGGTGTTATCTGCCAAAGGAAAGTTTGTCAACTACAGAGGATCGACCGCTTATCAAACGATGTTTCGAATCTGTTCCAAACGTCAATGGAAATCGGAAGCTTGCAGTAGTTGGAACTTGGCCAGTGATTTTTAGATTAAGGCATTTTTTATTTAGTATTTGATTTCAATAAAGAATATGTGTATTTTTCTTATTATATCTGAAACCTCTTAATAAGCATGTGTTTAACTAGTAACTCTTGTTGAAATTGTTTTGAAAATACTTATGTTGCAAATCGGAGCAGTGTAACAATTATTTATTAGTACTCTGTAGAAAGGAAGATGTTATGTTTTTTGTTCGAAATGATGTTTTAGAATACATCCAAAATGGCGACAACCGACGACGAATATGCCAAAAAATTGGCGAACCTCCAGCAATATATACCATTCCTCGAAAATATGATCGCTCAACTCAAGGATCCAACTAGAAAGAATAGAGAACAGCAGCTGGCTAAAATGGAATCTCTGTATGCATTCATCACTGACCGGAAGAAAAAGTAAGTAATTATTAGCGTTAAATTTCTCTGTCGGTACTTTGAGCTGTTTTTATCATCTATGATTAGAAAATATGTATCGTGCATGGCAATCTAAGTTTATGAACAACTTTTGGACGCAATGCCTTCATGTTGTTAGGCAAATGGAAAGTTACAACTTAATTTTCCTTTTCCCATATGTACTAGAAAAAATGCCCGAAGGTATAATGTTCTGCTATACAAACCTTACAAATTGTACAATTGTAAGAATTCGCTGGACTCTTGTAGTGATTTTGTAAAACAATACCAGTTATAATTACCTGTGTGGCGGCAGCAATTATGTAAGAATTTTTACATAAATGTAAGCGTATTCTGTAACACATTGACACTTGTATGTTTATGTTACTGAATTTCCCTACGTAGTTAACGTGCTGCTTATTTATATCTCTGGTCATGGTCACGAAGATATTCAGAGAATAAATACATATTCCATTTCAGATGAGACTTCGATTGACTGTCATGTTGAGTTCAATCGAAGCTTTTCATCTCACTAAACATCAATTTGATGGCCATTTTCAAGATATTAGACCGATGCTTTCAAATCGGTGGTATTAACCGAAGAATGTATTAATTGCCCTGTACTGGCTTTGGGACGGAGGTTAGTTTTACGGATTTGCGATACGAGGGATGTCTTTTAAGTTTTGCATATGGAAATAAAACAACACGGTAGGTAGTTTTAAATGACTTTACTGTTTTTCGAAGTATTCTCCACGAAGATTAATACACATCTGCATGCGCTCGAACCAATTGTCGAAGCACTTATTCCACTCGTTTGCTGCCAGATCCAAAACGGCATTTTTGAATGCGTCAACTGCTTCTTCTGGTGACTGGAACCTTTGACCACGCAGTCTGTTTTTAATTTTCGGGAAAGTAAAGAAATCGTTAGGACTTAGATCGGGACTATATGTAGGATGGTCCAATAATTCCACGTTTTCTTCCGTTAAATACTGCCTTGTGCCGTGTGCGAGCTTGCTTTGTCTTGGTGGAGGCTGATTCTTCTTTCGTGGTTAATTTTTCGAAGCTCGGTGATGACTTTTGTTAAACAAATGGTGGTATACCAATCCGCAGTAACAGTTCTTTGCTCATTAAGAGGAATTGTTGTAATATGACCCGCTTTTGACACAAATGACGCGACACTTCGAGAACGGATGACTTTTGTTGGCTTTTTTTCACCTTGGAACACGCAAACAGCCGACTGTCGTTTATTTTCTGGTTCATAACAGTAAATCTACAGTCTCTTCAGTCAACAGGTGGGGTATCCAACGAGAAACTAATTTTCTTACTCCTAATTCCTCATGTAAAATTTTTTGAATTGAGGTCTTTGAGATCTTCAAGGACGCCTCAATCTCGCGATATATCACATGTCTATCTTTAATGATGAGTTTGCGCACAGCATCGAGGTTTTCCTGGGTGACTGCCGTTTTTGGTGCACCCACCCTGGGATCGTCGCTAAGACTCAACCGTCCACGTTTGAATTCTCCATACCAACGGGAAATTGTCGACCGATGTGGCGCTTCGTTGCCGAAAACAGACAGTTACTCAGCAAGGCATTCTTGTTGCGATAATTGTCTCTGAAAGTTGTAATAAATTATGGCGCGAAAATGTTCTCGGTCGAGTTCCATTTTTCTAATGACTTGGCGACACTGTAGTGAGAACACTGCACGAATTGTTGTGAAACTTTGAATTTAAGTTTACTAAAGAGTGAGGTTAAGATTCAGTACAGACGTTCGATCCGCGCGGCCTACTATGTTTCTATATGCAAAACTTAAAAGACATCCTCGTATGCATGGTTTGTCAAAAATTATTATATGTACCTGCATCATTGACACTACATACTCATTGATTACAATTGTATTTATTTGCACCGGGTTAGAGTACGTCACAATACTTGTGGTATTTATGTTATGTAGCCTGGCGACACCCGTGGTTGCGACATTGCCACGTCTGCCGAACATAGTTGCCATCTTTCTTTGCCACCTACTTTCATCAGTACTACTTCTCTGGTAGAGATAAATAACGGTTTACCGCGGCTGCTATAAGGAGCTTAAAATACTGTTAATTCGATTTTTGCATCATCTAAGGTCGGTAGAAAAACGCTTCCTCGGGCAGAATATTCCACAACATCGATACCCTATTCACAAAGATGCGACCGTATCCATATGATTGGAGTTAACTACTGTTCAGTTTTCAGACTACTGACTTTGTACCCAACGGTCTTATAGCGTTCGCTAATATTTAAAATATCCACCAGAACTGTCCTTATGTTGCTGCTAAACAACGGCTTCAACAACATGTTGATGTTATAATGCTTCAAATCAACTATTTTTATGCCGGCTCACAAATTAAATCTTTTACTCACCCTATAGTCGCAGGGGTATTACGAATCTTGAAAAGTGACATGATGTGGGTCTTCCTATAAGATGTCAACTAGACACTAGTTCACGTGCCATTATTGGAGGTCTAAGCTGTAAGTTGGACACTATAGCTAGAAGGAAACGGGCATAACGACAGTGCGGATTTCTGTGCTAATAATCTGAGTTGATGGTAATTTCCTTGGTTTCGTGAGTCAAATACACTTGCTGGAGATGCTTCATGCTGGAAATTACATATACAAATTTGCTGAATTTAAAATCGGAGAGATAAAAAAGAAAATCCCGTGAGTGAAGTTTATTGCAACTGACAGGTGAGAAAATAGTCTACAGACAGGAATACTTAGGAAATTTTTCTCTTGGCTATGGATGTTGTGATTGTCCGTAGGTGGTAGACGGTCTCTGACTGTCGAACGCGGAGGTACCATCCGGCGGATCTCGTAGGCGGAGCCAGAATGTGTGCATGTGGCATGCACACGTGTTCCCTCGCCAGAGTCCGTGTGGCGTTTCCCCTTTCCCATGTATCCCCTATAGCCCCACGGTACCCAATGGGTGCTTAGGTCTTAGGCCCTCGTGGTAGTTGGAGTATAAAAAAAAAACTGGTGGATGAAACTCTGAGTAAATTTTTTCGTCACAGTATTGCTTAATTCAGTGACATATAGTTCTAATTCCTCATTTAATTGAACTCTGATGATAAATTTCCGATTTCCTCTCTTCCTGTCGCTTGAATTAATATGATGACAATTATCAACTGAAGTACATATGATGATAAAACCAGTCGAAGACATTTTACTACATATAATCTTTTTTATCACATCCTGCGTAATTAAATAAAATCATTTTATTTCAGATTGAAACTAGAAACGTTGAACAAATGCGAGGAGGTTATATCAAAGTTATACGGGAAAGTGGTAAGTTTTTTGTTCGCTGATGTACGATCTTATGTTAATATTTAATTTTTGCAGCGACCCAAAGTACCTTTACCAACAACAACAAATATTCCTGATAATCCAGAAAGTCTCAGTATGATGATGACTCCCGCTAGCCCCAGTCCACCAAGGGAAAATTTTGATGTTCAACCACTCACTATCCCGACAGAAAGGTACTCGTTATTTATTATCAATGCTTATTTCTGTAATACGATAAAGCGGAGAAAAGTGGTGTCTGCACTTTTATGTCAAATGGTGGATAAGGGTATTGCAGATATTTCTCTTATTTGTTCCAATTTGATTTACATATTCGTTATCTGGAGTATCTTTTGAATGCCATACATTTTTAGTGAGGCTGATTGTTCATCTGCAAATACATGCTACTGGCAGTTACTCTAATTTATAGAAAACGAAAAATAGTGTGGATAAGTTCCCGTACAGAGACACGTGCTGTTATATGACGTCACTGATAAATATTTTTTCTTGAATAACTGTTGAACGATACTGTTTGATTCATTTTATCTTATAACACTCTGTTGATAAATAAACAGTAGGAAATTTAGTTTTCACAAGGTTAATATATATAGGAAGTGAAGATCACCCATAATAAGAATGTACACCTCAGCACTGAGGAATATCAAAATACCCTGCACACTTTTATAAATTGGTATTATTTCATTTATTAATTGTATTCATTTTTCAGGGTTGAGGTGCCAAAAGTAGACATATATGCCAGCGCTGCAGAAAGTTTAAAAAGGAGCAAGCCTCGTGAGGAAAGGCACTCCTTCTCAGGTGGCATACCTGACATGTCCAAACCACCAATAAGCTTAGATGATCTAAAGACTCTTGAAGAAGATGTTCAGGAAAAGATAAACGAGAACGCAACTATAGCTGAACTGACCAATATTAGAAACAAACTCGCTCACCAACTTATTATGGAAGACTTCAAATCTGTAGCTGACAGGGGAAGTCAACAACAGACTGATATCGATATAAATACTACAGTTAGGAATAACCTTAGTTTAAGTAAAAAGCATATTGATGCCCCAAAAAAGGATGATAATCCGACTAAGCATCCCGTCGAAGAAAAACAACTATCTACTGATGTGAAAACTTGTACAGAACCTGCTAAGACTGCCATACCTAGTACTTCTAAACCTGTCAAAATAGTCAGCGCTTCAGATAGTATTTTTGGTATCGTCCTATCTCATATAGACGATGAAATCTTAGGCGCTAAAAAGAAAAGAGATGAAAGGCGAAACTCGTTGACTGGAAAAGAAAAAGAAAGTGATCAAAAGGAGACAAGTCATAAGGTAAAAGAAGGTAGCCAAAAGGAAAAGGAGGATAGAAAGTCTAGTAGAAATGACACGAAAAGGGAAGATTCTCCTGGCAAAAAGTACAGAGACAAAAAAAGAGAAGATCCCGTGGATAAGAAAGAGACAGAAAAAAGGAGGGACGACTATAATAATAAAGATAAATCTAGACATAGAGATGACAAAGTGAGGGACAGAGACCCTAGAAAAAGAAGAGATCATTATGATAGGAAAGATAAAAAAGAGTTTCAAGATAAAGATGATAAGAAGAAAGAACACTGTGAAAAAGACAAAAAGAATGATACATCATATGAAAAGGATAAAAGAAATGATCAGAAAAAAGAGCCTGATGATAAAAATAAGCAACGTGATGCAATTAAGGATAAGCGCGATAGTATAACTGGTGTTTCAGATATACCATTACCAGTGGATGAGCTGAGTAAGATACTTGTTAAAAAAATCGAAGATCTAAAACCTAAAACGGAGGAAAATATGGAACTCAAGATCGAACCATCACTACCAAAATTAGAACAACCTCCGTTAAAGTGTGAACCACCCAGTACTTATAAACGTCTTGCAGACAAGTTTAATCCTAAACCTAGGAGGCCAACCATGGAAGCAGAAGTTGACAGATCCGTAGCGAATAGTATAGAAGAAAACATGAAGAGTGCTATTCCGCCTAAGCTAGTAATGCCATCAGTACCTTTGCCTGTTCCCCCGCCAGAAAGTTTGCTTGCCTGTTCTCAGATGGATCCAGTATTACCTGAAAGACCACATATTCCATCACCTGTTAAAAATATCCTGGATGACAACACTACATCCTTTATACAGACTGTGATCAACCAGATGAGGACTCCAGATATGGAAATACCACCAAGCCCTATGCCCTTCTCTTCACCTGACAGTTTTGTTTCGGAGTACGTTAGAGAAGACTTCTGTAACAATCGAGGATTGAGACAGCATTTCGGGTCACCTCAAGAGCATTTCCAGCCCAATCAACCACATCACATGCCAAGTCAAATGCTAAACCACCCGCCAAATGCTTTAACACGTCCAGCTCCGAACCACCTGCCAATGCAGGCTCCCAGTCCTTTTCTGTTGAACCAGCAAAAAAATATATTTCCCGCACCTCATAATCAAAATTTCATGAGGGAGCCGGAATTTTGTCCTCCAAGCCCTCATCCCAACTTTGGTGGACCTCAAATGATGAGACCTGACGGACCCCACTGTCAGAATGATCAGTTTGGGATGGGTCTAAACCATAATGATTTGCGATGGAAACTAGACGAAAACAGGACTGCTTGGGACAGAAATAATTTTCCACCACCATATAGAGGTCCTGCTACTTATAGAGAATACAAGCAGATGAAGGAAAGTCAACAGAGAATTGATCCAAGAGAACCGATAGATAGAGATGTAAGGGATCCCAGAGATAATAGAGATCCTTGGGAAATAAGGGATCCCAGAGATAATAGAGATCCTAGGGAAATGAGGGATCCTAGAGAAATGAGAGATCCTAGAGAAAGAAGGGATCCTAGAGAACCTCGACAAGTGGCACCTGGTGATGGAAGGAGTCCGAGAGATCCTAGGATGGCCAGAGAAAGTAGAGACCCTAGAGCAAGAGGACCATCAGATAGGGATCCAAGAGAGCACACAAGAGACCCGCGGTTGAACAGAGAGCGTGGGAGGTCTAGAGAAAGGGACACTAGAGACCCTAGGTTGAAGCGAGAGCCGTCTCCAGATATGCGCAACCGATTCGATAGAATGTACACTGAAAGCTCTCGAAGCAGGTCTAGGTCTCGACACAGATTCGAGAAAGAAACAGACACATTTACATCTCCTTTAGATGACCCCTCGTTGTATGCTAGTAAGGAAAGTAAGACTGGAAGAGGATACGGAGTTCAAAACTTCCGTATTCCCAAAGTCAAAAAAGAAGAAATTGTTACCATCGAGGATGCGGTTCCAGAAAAAACGGAAATCGCCGAGCGGAAGCGAAAAAGACCTCCCACACCTGTACCCTCTCCTGTTCCTATGGATCTGGATGGTGATAGTTCCTATAATCAAGAAGTTACAGAAAGTAAAGTTCATAAGGAACAAGCAGAAGTAGAGGCTGACACGACTGTTAAGCCTAAGGACAAATCTACTGAGAAACAACTAAGCAATAATGCCGAAGAAGCATCTGAAGAGGCTCCTATGCCAGATACTACTGTGGATTTAGATAAGCCTAAAGCTGATTCAGATGAACCTGAAGAATCTAGAGAAACAAATGAACCCAAAGAAACTACTCATGAGGAAGTAAAACAAGCTCAACCTGATACCAGTAAAGCTCCTGCAGAGCAAACGATATTGGCACAATTTTTCGCGAATTTATTGACTAGCCAAAATAAAAAAGATAAAAAGACTGCCTTGTACTCTTTAATCAGTACTTTTTCTGACAGCTTCAGTCCTAAAGAACTATCAAAAATAACGAAGATAATCAAACACGATGACGAAGAAGGAAGTAGTTCAGAAGAAGAAGGTGTATCTAAAAACGATGTCAAACAACCTGTTGAAGCAGAACAATCTGAAAAATCTGAGCCAGCAGAAGCAGAAAATACAAAGACGCCTATTGCAGGCGAACAGAAAACAAAAGACGAGGTTAAAGAAGAGAAATCCGCTAGGCTGAGAACAAGGCGGAGAGTTCGACGCCTGTCCTCTGACTCTTCACCTGCAAAAAGTCCAGAGAAACATTCGGAAACAAAAGCTAATGAAACCACCAAGGAAAATGTTTCACAAGAAGAAGCGCCCAAAGAAGTTGATCACAACGAATGTGAGGAAACCAGAGAGACAGTAATTTCGGACGTGGTAGTATCTGTAGGAGAAAGGATAAAATCCAGAAAACGCACACCACCGAAGCGGAGGCTGCGTAACGAACTCGATAAGTTACATGAGGACATTCAGGACATGTTTATTAGAGACGGAGTTCTAACTGCTACCGGAAAAAGGATGTGTCGCATCTTAAAACATGACCCTAATATGTTGGGTCCAAGTACTGAACCCAATATACTACCTTCTGTACCCGAGGAACCAACTAAAATTCGGAGGAAACCTGGTCCCAAATCTAAAACAAAACCACCGGCTGATACTGAAGCTAAATCCGTTCAAATGCAAAATGTGCGCGTGTTGCTACCGAAACTACCCGACGCAACAACGGATGAACAAAGGCCTTCAAGAAGAACCACAAGAAGTATGGCTGCCACAGATAACGCAGATGAAAGCTCAGAGGAAGAAACTCCTGCTGACGGAAATGAATCAACGTCTCAAGAGGAGTCTGGAGGCAGTGATGCTGAAAAGGACAAAAAAGTCGGTAAACCTAAGACGAAGAAGAAAAGACGCAATATTTGGGCTAGTGGGATTGTACGAAAGTCAAAGAGCAAAGGTAAGAAGGATCAGCCAACCGCTGATGCAGAGCCTGAGTCTGAGAAGACTAAAGAACAAAGAGAAGATATCTCTCATAACACCACTGAAGTCGATGAGAAGGAAATACCGGATAAAGACAAGTTTGTCGATTTCGGACACGTCAAGGCATACCATTGCGTACTTTGTAACTATAGCGGGAAATTCATCACTACACATTATAAGACATTGCATCCGGAATCTGAAGTACTGTGTGCACGACTCAAACCGGAAGTTGCGATTGCCGCTATTGAGGATTCTAAGAAGAATCTAGCTAAGTATGAAGCATCCTGTCATTATGTTGCGAGTCATAAACTCAGTTGGACGTGCCGTGTTTGCGACTTTTCAACACATATCGCACCTACCCTCTTCTTTGATCACTTGACCACTCACACTGGAGAATACAGACACTGCTGTCCTCATTGCATTGCGACTTTTTGTTCTGGAAAGTCATTGAAGTTCCATATGAACACGATACACAAGGATGATCCAGAGAAACCTGTACGCCGTAAAGCTTACCATACCAGCGTAATGTTTGGCTACCTCTGTTCAGAATGTAACTATATACAAATGCATAAGGAACACGTTGAGGAGCATATCAGTAGATGGCACTCGAAGATGACTAAAATATACAAGGTAAATATGTCCACCAAAAATGACGACGTTGTAGAAGGTTCCGCAGAATCTCAAGTCGAGGAGCAAGCAAATGAGGACACTGAAAGAAAAGTTGATACTCCTCCTCCTTGTTTGTCTCCACAATCTCCATTGGAAGAGGTGGAAGAGAAACCAATTATCGTGATAAGGAAGAAACCTGGTCCAAAGTCAAAAACATGCCCTGAAGCCATAGAAGCTCAAAAGGATAATCAATCAAAATCACTGCAAGCTGAGACATCGCCGGCTCCAACGCGAAAAAAACCAGGCCCCAAAGTTGGCAGTAAGAGAAAGAGAAAAGTAAATACGGAGCTGGGTATGCTCATACAAGATAGTGAGAAAGATGGCGTAAGTATCGAGGATGTACTAGATTTTGGTCGAACTAAGAGAGCTGCTAAAGAAAAAGCTACTGAGAAGATGAAGAATATCATCGATACAGAAAATCCTATGAAACGCAAATCAGTTTCAAATGATACTCCAATGAAGAATGATCATTCTCATAACCCCGATGCAGAACTAACAAAGATAGTTCAAGAAAAAACTGGATCGACTGAGGTTAAGCAGCTGCAACCGACCATAATTAAAAAAGAACCAGAACAAAATGCTGAAGAAAAATACGATCAAGATAAAACCGAAGAAGAAATACCTGAAACCAAGCTTGAGGAAACTCAAACAGAAAAACCTTCAGAAGTGGACTTGAACGTGTTTACTTGCAAAACAGACTTGATGGAAGAAAATCGACAGATCGAAGAAGAGCGCCTGCGTCAAATGGAGGAGTTAAACAACTCTGTCAAGGGTAATAGGACATCCTTGAATTTTATTGATAAACTTTGTACAAGGTTAAGTAACAAGGATGATATTATAGTAAAGCAGGAACCTAAGGACAATTTCCCAAATACAATATTTTCGGCAGAACCTGTGGGTACTGTAACTGAACCACATCGGGAATCTCCTGTACCACCCCCTGGTAAAAAACCAATGCTCGATGAATCCGATATCAGCCTGCCCGCTTCAAACTTTGACGTCACAGAAAAGAACGACAATGTCATCAGTAACATGATAAAAAAACTGAAAGGTATGCTAGCTCCAGTCGAAGGTATGGATTACGATAAAGTTACAGAAGATGAAGATAACAGCAACGATCCTTTCGGTGGTATGAGAGCTGAAAGTAGCGCAGTGATCGGAGGCCTTGTGAAAATAACTAAATTCACCGACACCATCAAGTACCATTGCTTGGTACCGAATTGCTCATACATTACTGAAAACGCAGATGCGTACCAGTGGCACTGTAAAACATTCCATGGTTCTGAACTGCAAGCGAGTAGTACCATATGCGAGACCTGTGGTATGGAAGTTAAACCGACCGAAGAATCGAATTTGTTGGAGAATTTATTGAAACACAGCATAGCTGAACATGTGGAGTTCTTGAAGCCTCAATCTTCGGATCCCGAACAGGAGAGACCGAAGAACGTTTTGAGAATCAGGAGGTTGAGTGGCGATGCGTTATCGCTCAAAACTGATACTGAGGAAAAGGACGAACATTCCGATGAAGCCATGGCGAGCCCTAGTTTTTGGTCGAATGAAGAGGCGACTGAGGAGACGTTTGTTGATATTTTGCAGGTATTTCATCTTTTTCCATTTAAATACTTGAAAGCGTACGAGGCTTTTATCGAATGAGCTGATGTAAGACGTTTGATATTTCACTACGTATAGGTGAACGTTGAAATCTGCACTATATCATTACATATATACAGGTTGCGCCATTAAATTGAGCGGGTTTTAAAAAATCATTGGAAAAACTACAAAGCGTGGGGAAAATAATTTATATTTTTAAATCTGACAGCCATAACCAAAAGTATTACATGAACGGAAAGAACAATCATTCTATGCCAAGTCTGCCGTGCCGATATTTTTGAAGCCGGCAAAAATTAACTCAAGGGAACTGTCGCTGAACAGCGTGCTCAAGGCATGGCCAACGCGTACGTGTTGTCGCCATTGTCATTTGTATAATTTACACTATCGGAATGTCATTTACCTGCTGGGCCCACGCTAAAATCGGCATGCGTTTAACATTGGCATAACCTCACTAAATGGACAGCGCTGATGATACGCTGTTAAGGACGTTACTATGGACACGACATTTAAATAACCACTACGATGACACTGTAGCTTAACGCTATGGCCTTTGCTTTAAGCACCCCATGACAATAGCTTCATCACGTCAAATAATCAACCATAAATAAAACATGCCGTCAAGTGGGTTGACTGTGAACGTGGTCTCTCCCCGATACGTAACTCGGACATACGAGCTTAGAAAACACTATGCTGTTTCGCTGCAATGTTGTGATTCCATACCAGAACACTCATCTTACTGGGCGCGGCCGACAATATTTTCAGGGCTAATGCACAGAGAAATCTATGATGTGTGAAATATGTCTAATAGGCGCGTAGAATTAATTACCAATGTTGGGAGCGTATGAATGTCCTAGCATCAAAAAATTGAGACACGCTCCCACTTTCGTACAACACCCACCCCCAAGTTTTTATACCTCTAACTTTTTTTTCAAAAATTATCTAGGTCCTCTGAAACGTCAAAAAACAAGTTCGTACGATTTTCACTTTTTCCGTTTTAGACATTTTTCTCTGCCGCCACTGGACCGATTTTCAAAAACTACTAAGCTTTTGGGTTCTTTGCATAGTAGTAACATTGTGTAAAATTTTCATCGTAATCCGGCGGGGAAGTATTGTAATCACAAAATTTTTCGAAAATGTTTTTGGGTGTTATATGACATGTACATCACAAAAAAAAACATGTCGCTTATTAACCCAATAATGGAAACAATATTTCTACCAGGAACAAGAGGCTGTACCGCCGACAATGGCAGAATTGGAAGTGAGCGAGGATAATCCGTTCCCCTTCAAGATCGCCGACGTAGTGTCATTGGCTGATGAGCAAATGCAACAACAGTCCACCGCACAGCAGCCAATACCCCCTCCCTTGACTCCTATTGCTAAATCAGCCTCAAAAGCTCAATTGATTGTGAAAGAAGCTAAGCTGACTCCAGAAGAACTGAAGAACCCACGCAAGGCCCAGAAAGCTATGCAGAAGTTTATTGAAGCGATAAGCGATTTGTACAAGTGTCCCCATTACTATTGCATGTTTTCCACCAATCACAAAGACTTCCTAGAGCGACATTTGAAGGTAAGTCTTATGGCCATAACGTGATTCATATGAGGTTAGATGAGTGTACGACTTTCAATCATCAAAGTTTGACATAAATCACGTTGACGTTCGCGTCACTTGACTTTTGCTGTGATTGGGATACAATCCAATTCTTAGGCATTTTTGGAAACTCGCTAGAATATGTGTTAGTGATCGGTAGGAGTACTAAATAAATGATTTATACAGGATGTGGCAATATTACCGGAACGGCTCTATAACTTTGGGAATACTAATGAACTATCGATCGGTGACTTTGATTTTGACCATAAAGGTTAATTGAAGGTCAACATTAAAATTTCAAATGTAAACTTGAGTGACCTTAAGTGATCCCTCAAGATCAAATTACTACCATTGATGAATATGAATAATTCTTCGGGAATGCATTTTAAAGGGAAAATGCTTCGAATTAAAGTTTTAGGATTTATCCTCAGCTGTCACAGTGTGACATTGAATTCGATCTTGACCTTGAAGGTCAACTTCAAAATTTTGAATGTTGGCCTATATTGACCCCCGAAGCGAAACGAGTGAAAAAGTTTACGTTTAGATATGAACCTGAATGACCCTCATATTTTACCTTGAATGACTCTCGGGCAACTAAGGCAAGGGCCCCGGCCGTATCGTGTTAGTTTGACCTTGAGGATCACTGTTTTCCAATCTCTTATGTTCTTTAATTCTACATTTGATAGGTCTCACCAATACATATTAAGTCACCTCCGATCATTCATGGTCAAATATGAGGATCATCCAAGGTCATATCAGAACGTAAAATTTGTCGCTTGTTTCATTGCCGAGGTCGAAAATAGGGTTTATATTTAAAATTTTGAAGTTGACCTTTAAGGTCATTACATTCAACCATTCTGGAAATTCCTTTTTCGATTCCTGCTTATAGGATTGTGAATATTTTCTGTTTTACCCCTGAACTCATGAACTCATTTTAATTAAATATTTATTTTGAAAACAGACAGGTTTCGGTTTCTTTATTGCTTGTCCGGTGCTGAGGTAATGACAGTAATCTACCAGTCTGCACCTTTTGTATGCAAAGAAATTAATTCAGGGCAAGCGGATTAAGGGATGAGGATGTGCGTTCGTAATCATAGGCAACCCAAATCTACGCCTCTCATATTCCCGACTGCCTGAGTATGTATGCATATGTATGATTGATGTGGGGCATAAAACTATGAAGACTACATAAAATTAACTTTTAACTTTATTTTTGGTGGAAGATTACTCGTACGTTTTCGGTAAATATTCTCATTTCGGTGAAAATACCGAAAAATGCGGTTCAAGTCCATGCTTAGATAATCTGAAACCCTCATGTTTCTTGAAGCACATGAGGGCTTTCACCTGACGAAACCGTTTAGCCAAAAAATGCGCCTCATCACTGAAGATGATTTTGCGATGAAATTGGTCATTTTCTTGCAACATTTCTAGAGCCCAATTCGAGAAGGTACGTCGGTGATCGAACGGCTTTAAATCTTGAGTTAACTTGATCTTATACATCTCACTTACGATGGGACATCCATGTCAATTATATTTTAAAGAAAGTTAGATTTGTATCCTACAAAATTAAATACCTTGGGAATATATTGACAGAAAAATATCTTCGAACATTATACCATGCACTGATTGAGCCTCATCTCACATATGGTATATTAGCATGGGGAGCTGCATGTTCCTTACATATCTATAATTTAGATGTTTTTCAAAAAAGTATTCTAAAAATGATATTTAAAAAACCGAAACTTTATCCCACTGAAAAATTATATGCAGATGTTCGAATGTATGATATAAGACAGCTTTATTTCTTACACAGTATCACTCACTACCATAAATTTGTAAACACCGACCAAAAAATTAAACATAATCATTATACTAGGTACAAAATTCGTGGCACAGTAGTTCCTCAACGGCATAAATCTATAATGCAGCAATCATATCTCTATTTAGCGCCTAAATTTTATGAAATTATACCTAAAGACTTAAAAGATTTACGTTTCGGAAATTGTTTCAAAAGAAATTTAAAAAAGTGGCTACATTCTATATCTAGGACTGAAATTCATAAACTCATAAATACGAACATCAACTAAATACATAATCTACTGTAGCTAATTTTTGTCCTTTTTTGTCATTTGCATTCTACAGTTTCAACTTAAATTATTGGTCCATGTACAGGCGATGCCTTCTATTGGGCCTGTTTTGATTTTATATTTATTTACTCATATTGTTTGTTATCTTTGTATATTGAGTAAATAAATATTATTATTATTATTATTATTATTATTATTATTATATAAGGGTACAGGCCAAGATCTCTTTGCAAAACTCGCCATATTGGAGTCTGAGCGGTGCCCAATTCTTGAGAACGGCGTGTTCTGTTCGTTTGCAACTGAATCTTGAACGGCAGCAATATTATCGGCACTTCGACCAACCCATTGTCACACTGGTACGGGAACATCCAGCAGCGAATATGTAGACTCACATTTTTTTACTAGACTATGACTATGAATATGTTTTGACATTGACAGTTCTGTAGTTGATTTAAAGGTGCGTTCACCGGCAAAGTTCAAAGTTGTCAAGTTCCTATTGGAAAACCCGATAGCTGTCACTGCTCGTACATGTTGCACCTCAAAGTCTCAACAAACTGAACGCTAAATGCTGACCATTTATTTAACACAAATTGCTGCACCATTATACACTGATCGTACTCTGTTTTTTATAGGGCCACAGGACTGATAAAGACGTGATGGTGCCATGCGTATACTGCGACATGAAGACACCCTGGGAACACGTACCTAACCATATCGACGTTCGACATGCAAATTCACGATTTGCGTGCAACTATTGCTTATACAGGTCCGCGATTAGAGAATATGTGTTTCTCCACCAGGATGAAGAGCATAGTAGCTCAAGGACTTACTCTGTGCTCGCTCTGCCCCCGCTTAAGACAGGAAAGAAGTTTGCCATAGCTGAACAGAAGATCAGTGCCAAGCTGCTCTGTATGCCATACAAATGTCTACCGAGTAAGTTGCTTTAGTGCGTGTGAAAATTTTGTAAGATGAGTTGAGACTACGGGGGTGAATCTGATACAAGGTGTACCACAAGCCAACGTCAATCCAGAACAGTTATCAGAAAAATATAAAAAGTCCAAGTGGTGTACTTTTCAAATTATAGGACTTGAAAAAATCGGAAATATTTACACCCTGTAATGATGTTTTAGTTTCCATTACTACAAATTTCGTTTTTTTCTTAGACGGACAGTGTCATTATACGTAGACTTTGAATTTATTTAGACATTTTACAAAGCCCTTTACTAAATGTATTGGAAGACGTATTTATAGACTCATGTCGTACCAGCAAGACGGCTGCGCGGCGTACTATGCCCTTTCACTGAGAGAATATCTTGATGTGGAATACCCGATGGCGGTGGCCAACCCCCCGTTCACCTGACTTAAATCCACTCGATTTTTTTTCTGTGGAGCGGCCAAAGAAAAAGTTTCAAAGCCAAGCGAAAATTTAGTCTGTTTGTTTGTTTAAGGTTTATTTAGCATGATTGCTACAATTACATTCTTCTAAAAAACTAAACAATTACATATAATACACATATTTAGAAAAAAAAACAAAATTGGCATCTCTATGAATTTTCATTTTCCATGAAATATTTCTGTAATTTTCTTTTAAATATCTTTAAATTGCAAGTAGACTTTATGTCATTATTTAGTTTATTAAATTCAAGCAATCCTTTCTGAAATATTGATTTTCTAGTTAAATTACTATTACAATTTTGTAAATGACAATCTATATTTCCTCTTGTATAATAATTGTGGTAATGATTATTCAATTCTATGTGGCGTTCTAAATGTTCTGGCAAAAGATGATTTTTTATTTTAAATATAAAAATAAGAACCGAATATGATATGAAATTTTTTATATTCAACCACTGCAATTCTTGTAACATAGATTTTATTTTGGTGTACTTATTTTTATTCAATATTATTCTCATAGCTTTATGTTGCAAGACTTGTAATTTTGAGAATACAGCTTCATTGGCAGTGAACAAGATAGTTGAACAATATAGTAAATGCGGTAGAATAATTGTATTATAAACTATTTTCTTGGAATAGATACGAATACTATCAGAAGCAATATAAAAGTAATTTGTTTTTTTTGGCAATTTTTGCAATAATGTATTTGTAGTGATCCTCAAACTTTAGTTTACTATCAATATATATATATATATATATATATATATACCTAAATATTTAATTCATTCAACATTTTAAATTATTTCTCCATTTATCCTAACTATGATAGTATTTTCATTTAGGTATTTCCCTAATTAGCATACATTTTGTTCGAGAAGTATTCAATTTTAGTTTATTTACATTTAACCAATTTACGATTTTTGTCAAGTCAAAATTTAGCATTTTCAAAGCAGTGTCTATATTTTCATCTGATATGTATATTAATGTATCATCTGCAAATATCTGAAGTTCACAATAATCTAAAATATTACATTAATGTATAAAATAAATAGTAGTGGACCTAGTTTACTATCTTGTGATATGCCAACAGAAATATTTTTTGATCTTGATAATGTAGATCCAATTTTGGTATTTTGACTTCTGTCAATTTAATAGTTTTGTAGAATTTTGAATACAGATCCTTTAAATCCGTAGTGATGCAATTTTGTAAGTAATTTATCCCTGTCAATAGTCTCAAACGCCCTTTTGAAGTCCAAAAACACTGTTACTGTATGTTTCCTATTGTCCATACATCTCCTCCAGTCCTCTAAAACCATTTGTGTTGCCATTTCAGCTGAGTGTCTCTTCCTGAATCCAGCTTGAAATTTGGTTAAAAAGTTATTTCCCTCAATAAATTTGATGATCTGTTCGTAAATAATTTTTTCAAAAACTTTTTCAACATCTGGCAGAACATTTATTGGCTGCATATTGGTGTTCAACTCAGAATTCTTAACTTTAGAAACAGGAGTTATGGTAGAACACTTCAGTTTTGTTGGAATTTCGCCATATTTTAAACAGTAATTTATCAGGATTAATATTCTTTCTCCAATAATATCAAAACATTCATTATTGATATTATCGGATTATGATAGTTTTTAAATAGGTAACAAAGACGTTACTCTATCGGAAATTTTAACTCGTTTGTGTTTTTGGACAGTTCATGGACTGTACAATGTCCCAGAATCGAGTGTTTACGTGGGCGAGAGAACTTATTGAACGTGATCGCGTGTTAATCCTGGAATACATTTCATCAGAAGTACTCAATGCATAATCACAATAAATTAGCGAGAAGGCGAGAAGCGCATCGTATCGTGACATGTGATGAGTCGTGGGTACATCATTACAGACAAATAGGGCAACGATATGGCGGACCGAACAAGCTTGTTAGTCCTGAGCCACCCCTAGGGGAGCCCGCGCAAAGAGGAGGAAAATGAAAAAATGGATTCAAGACAACACTCTCAGAAATTAAGAAGCATCTCTAGACATCTCCGTCAGGCAAGGGAGTTCATCGTAGGGACCAGTGTTGAGCATGGACGCTTTTGCTTGTCTTTGGACAGAGCCGACCTCAGGTTGTTCGCGGTGCTACCTGCATGAGATGGGGTAGTTGAGGATCCCATGTATGAGCGCCGCGGGGTAGAGGAAGAGTCCTCGGCGCGTGTTATGTGTCGCTGTGAAGCTCTGATCTACTACAGGCAGATTATACTGGGGTTCATCACTTTGGATCCCCAGATTGATAAGGAGCTGGGACTCAAGGATATACTTAACTTTGCTAGAAATGTAGGGGTGCATAAATCATGGTGGCCGGTATGCAATTTCATTCATCCATTCATTCACACCCTCGCATCGAAACTGGTAAGAAAGGAGTGACGGAGAAAGGATGGAGAATTGCCCAGTGAGGGCCAAAACTTGTCTTTTTCTTGGAAAAGATTTTTTTTACCAGTGGAATTTCACCGATCGCTTTAGAAACAACAGACGATGCATGCACCGATCAGGGATGTTATTCTCCTCCGTGGCAACGCCAGGCTTCTCGCCGCGACTTTGACAAGCGATGCACTGGCAGGAATGGGCTGGGAAACTCTTGAGACTATTTTTCGTTCTAGGACAATCTGAATTCTACAGGGTGTAAACGGCATTTTTTTGGAGAAAAGCAAGTTTAAAGTAAAACAAAATCTGACAACGCCGCAAATTGCGACGGAACGCAGTGTAAATAAAGATGGAGTTTGTTATTTTTGGCTCTTAGGTATTATTTCATTATTTGATAATGTACTCGTAAAATGCAAACAGTTAAAATAACGGACTACCACTAACTGTCTCAGCGCTTCACCTGGTGTGTGAAGGTTTATTGAACGTATTAAAAAAATCCACTTATAAATAGGGAACACAATTGTGATACATACATTGTTTTTCTTTTTAAAACCCACACTGCACTTTTTTGTATTCAAAGAAGGTGTTCAAAATGTCGTCCTCCAGTTTCCACACAAGCTTCATTACGTCCTTCACGAATGGTATGAGGATTTTCTGGGGCCCCCGTGGACATTTAATATCCCGTTTCGCGTAAAAGTACATTCGTCCGTCGCTAGAATGTTTTTAAGAAAAACCGGATTTTTCATGTTTTTGTGCAAAAACCACTGACAGAATGTTAATCTGCGAGCATAGTCTTCTGGTAACAAGGCCTGCACTCGTTGTACATGGGATAAAGCAAATTTTCCCGTAGGATTCTATGGAGTATGGTATGCGATAGTCTTACGCGGCGACCTAATTCCCCAGTGCTGATATCTCCATTGATTTCCACGATATTTAAAATTTGTTCCTCCTGCTCTACAGTAACCTGTCTTTCACGAGTTCGATAAGAGTGATGATGACCGACGCGCTGTTGTCATGTGTGTTTTAAATATTCAATTTAATGAAATTTACTTACTGACTACAAATTTTGGCTTGACTTAGAAAAACATAATGCCATTCGTTTGATAATTACCCAATTTAAAAAGGTTTTAGATTAGATTATAAAAATTAGTAAGATTGTGGTGATTGTGTTCGATAAAAGCACTTAAAGTTGTAAACTGACAGTGAGCTTGCCAAGAGACTGGGTCATTCTATTTATTTAAATTTGGTCATCACCAACGATGGAGTGATGTTATATGACTTCAATAAAACGCCGATTTGCGTATTGTAACTAGTTAATAGGAAAATGTTCTCTGAAAAAGTACGACTATTTTCAAAAGCTTTATCTTCTAGAAGAATGTCTGAACACTACCTTGATGCTGTCGGAAATTCAATTTACCGTGCAAAAATGTTTGAATTTTTTACACATCCCACTAATAAAAAAGAATGACTATGACCAAAAGACTATCAAGAACTCCTCCAACGCTACGATTTTCATAAATATATTGTTTTCTGTCCGATTGCCGGTTGTTTTTTGACAGAATGTATTAGAATTTCTTTTTTTATTGCAGAATGTGTTCCAAATTTGTTCCTGTTCCTTGACGAGTTTGTTCTGCATATCTCTAAATATCACCATGTTGATATGCTGTGCCAGTGCCAGTACAGGGACTGCAGCTTACAGATGAACTTCGCAGACATACCAGGACATTGGCGACACTACCATCGTGTGGCTGAGCTTCAGTGCGGGTACTGTCGTACGAGTGAGTCAGTCCACCGCGTGATGTATACACATTTGGCTATTTCTCATCAGAACCAACCACCAGACGTGTACGTTAGGTTGAGGTCGGGCACTCCGGTAAGTACTAACTAACAGCTATTGTTTTTCAAAATAATTTCAACCCCCAAAGCTTCTGCTAAGCATTCAGAAATATACTAAGTGACATATAAATCCGAATACCCAGTTTAAATGGTTTTATTTTAATAAAATTTTGTATAAGTACTTAATGAAGCATAATAAGTAAATGATAAAAATTCCAAAATTATTGCACTGCTTTAAAGCCCTTTGACCTTTAATAATGTGTGGATGCACCCTGATGTGCTACGCATTCTCCAACGCGCATAGGCATGCTTCTGCTCAGGTGGTCAATGTCCTCCTGTGGTATCTCATTCCAGGCAACCACCAACTCCTCTCGAAATGCTTCTAGAGTCTGAGGAGGACGTTGCAAATTGAGCAATCTCCTACCCATCATATCCCACACGTGCTCAATTGGGGATAAGTCGGGAAATCTTGGTGGCCATGGTAACAATGTGACATCATTATGTTGAAAGAAGTCTATTGTGACTCTTGCAAGATGTGGTCGGACATTATCTTGTTGGAAAGTTGAATCTGCCAGGGTGTCAAGATAGGGTGAAAGATGGGGTTCTAGAACTTCGTGGATATAACGCTGCGCGTTCATGTTACCTCTGATGAAGATTAAAGGTGACCTGGAACCATAAGCTATAGCACCCCAAACCATAACTCCAACAGTGTGACGAACATGTCTTTCAACAAAAAACTGTGGATTCCTCCTTTCACCACGTCGCCTTCTAACCCTGGCACGACCATCGTGCATGCCTAAACAAAATCGAGACTCGTCACTAAAGACAATACTGTTCCATTCCTGATCCCAGAGTGACCGTTGTCTGCACCACTCAAGGCGATTACGTCGGTGTTCTCGAGTTAAAGGGAGGACCCAGTGTGGCTGGTATGAAAACAAGCCAAAACTTCTCATTCGTCGGTAAACACTTCGCATGCCAGTAGGTCTTCCGTGTTCTGCAAACCATTCATTTGCAATGGACCTGGTAGTGGAGAAACGGTCCCTTAAGGCCAATAATCTTAGGCGGCGATCTTCACGGTCTGTTGTTCTACGGCGGCGTCCAGTGCCCCTTGCTCTTTGCGTACGGCCTTCTCGAAGCCATGCCTGACAACACCTAATCACAGTGTCTACACTTCTTTGCACTCTAACTGCAATTGCTCGAAAAGAAAGTCCAGCTTCCCGAAGTCCCACTATACGGCCCCTATCAAACTCACTAAGTTGACGAAATCGTACAGGTCTCCGTACTCTAGGCATCGTAACCGATCGTAAAGGATGTCAAGAACCAAAATCCGCCAACGTTGATTCTTTACTGCGGCTGAAATATTCATTTTTAGAGCGTTAGTGAAGTCCAACTGATAACGCTGAAAATTTTTTCACTTGTTATTTACAGTAAGATAAATACATTCACCAACTTTTATTAAAACAAAACCATTTAAACTGGGTGTTCGGATTTATATGTCACTTAGTATATTACAATTTTGCAGATGAAAATCTTATACTGCCTCTAGTTTCATAGTTATGATAATGACTATTTAACTTAGTGAAGTTCTCTAAATGTGGTGGTAATAAATGATTTTTTTATTTGAATATGAAAACGAGAACTAAATAATATATGAAATTTTTCACGTTTAACCACTGCAGTTCTTCTAACATAGACTTAATCCTAGTATATTTGTTTTTATTTAAAATGATTCTCATAGCTTTATTTTGTAGAATTTGTAATTTTGAAAATATGTTTTCATTTGCTGTAAACAAGATGGGTGAACAATATAAAAAATGGGAAGAATTATAGTTTTATACACAATTTTTTTGGAATACACACTAAGGTTATGGGAAACTCTATAGAAGTAATTTATCTTTTTCGATGTTTTTGAAATAATGTATTCATAATGTTCGTGAAACAGTAGCTTACTATCCACTACCAAGATATTTAAATGACTTGCCTACTTCAATTTTTTCATCATTAATCACGAGCCTAAATGTATTGTCACCTAGATAATCCCTACTGACATACTTATATTTTTATTAGTGTTTAATTTAAGTTTATTGACATCGTGTGTATCGTCCGCAAATATTTGAATTTTGCAGTGTTCTAATATGTCAGAGATATCATTTATATAAATAATAAATAGTAATGGCCCTAATTTACTCCCCTGTGGCACCCCCACTGATCATTCTTTCTGCTATAATTAATTTGTCTGTCACTACCCCAACTTCGAAACACATTTTAGATAATTCAGTCTTTCTATTAGGATAAACAATATCCGTTAATGTTTTCAAAATCATTTTGGAATTATTTTTATTGCTATCGATCTTCTTATCATAGTATTTTTTGTTTTCCCTCCGGAGAACTGCTACACACTCATTTCTTTTTGTATATTGTTTCCAGTCATTTTCACTTTGGGTTATTGAAAATTTTCTGTAGTCGTTATCGCATTTTAATTTAGACTCCTTGAATATCTGTGAAAACCAGGGTGTTGGGATCACTCTTTCATATATTATTTTCTTGATCATAGCTTCACTAATATATTTATTCATATTATTCATATTTTGTTCGAAGTAGTTGTCGGCATTATCGATAATTTCAGGTATATAATGATTACTTGAATATCCTATCAAGTAACGGATTTCTGTCCTATATAAACCTACCTACAAGGTCCATCAGTGGCACATGTATAGATCACTGCTTTGTGAAAGACCTATCCAACAAAATTACTTGTATACCAATAATCCTAGAAAGCGATATTACTGACCACTTCTCCACTATTTTACTGATATCTTCAAATGAAAAACATTCTAACATCCCTACCGTTAATAACAACCAGGAAAATTACAAATTTTTTGTCGAAAATTCAAAACTAATATCAAATGTCAAACAAGAATCCTGGGAACAATTATACTCTATAAATAATATAGACAAAGCAACGGGACTGTTCATAGAGAAAATAAAAAAACTAATAGATATTAGTACCAATAAAGTAATAATTAGTCACAACGAGAAAAGCAGAAATGCCTAGATTACCAAAGGATTAATAACATCGGCAATAGAAAAAGAAAGACTATATAATGTAATGAAACTAACGCCAACTACAGAGAATACCGACTGCTACAACCAATATAAAAATAAATTTATAGAGCTTGTAAGGCAAACCAAACGAAAACATTACCTAAATAAATTGAATAATAACTTAAATGATCCTAAGCGGCTTTGGACAACTATTGATGAGATTACTGGGAAAACAAAATTTAAAGAGTGTGTCACTGAGTTAAATACAACATCGGGAACAGTATTAAAAAATACTCAACAGATATGCGATGAATTTGTACAATTCTTTACTGACATAGGCGAAAATTTAGCAAGTAATATACAAGCAAATGTACAAAATACTCAGCCTCCAAAAAGAACTTTGAACTCATTTATTTGGGATAAAGTCGAGCAATGTGAAGTATACACCACTGTTATGTCCTTAAAAAATCGGAAAAGTCCTGGGTTCGATGGTATTAAAAGCGAGCATTTGAAAATTATAGCCGAGGACATAACAGAACCACTCACTTACCTAATCAACAAATGCTTTGAATCTGGCATATATCCCTCAATTTTAAAAAAAGGTAATATAATACCGATACATAAATCAGGAACAAAAACAGATGTTAACAACTATAGACCAATATCAATAATATCCAGTGTAGCAAAGGTTTTTGAAAAAGTTTTATCTACTAGAATGATTCGATACCTCACAAAATTCAAAATTTTAGGTGAAAATCAATATGGATTTACAGAAGGGAAGGCTACATCGGACGCAATAACTAAAATTGTAAATCAAATACATCAAAATATTGATAACAGAATCCCTTCAATCTGCATTTTTGTTTATTTAAAGAAAACTTTCGACACAGTTAATCACAAATTATTATTAGAAGCATTGGAGAGAATTGGTTTCAGAGGAAACGCTTACTCACTGATCGAAAGTTATTTGTCAAATCGCCCACAATCTGTACAGATATCAGGATCATTTAGTAAAGAAATGTATATTAAGTGTGGTGTCACACAGGTCCGCTGTTATTCAATATATATTTAAATGATATTTTCCAAATTAATTGTGTTGGCAAAATAACTAGTTTTGCAGATGATACTGCAATATTATATGAAGGCACTGACTGGTCTGATCTGAAAAATGTAATTGAAAATGATTTTATCAAAATTATTCGGTGGTTTAACAGTAGAAAATTAAGCATTAACTACTCTAAAACACATTTTTTACCATTTGGATCTTATGCTAGACATCTGCCAAATTACACAAATTTCTCCTTCAATATTAATGATCAAAAAATGCAAATTAATAGAGTGCCCAACATAAAATACCTTGAAGTGGTCTTATATCCTCACTTACGATGGGACATGCATGTCAATTATATTTTAAAGAAAGTTAGATTTGTATCCTACAAAATTAAATACCTTGGGAATATATTGACAGAAAAATATCTTCGAACATTATACCATGCACTGATTGAGCCTCATCTCACATATGGTATATTAGCATGGGGAGCTGCATGTTCCTCACATATCTATAATTTAGATGTTTTTCAAAAAAGTATTCTAAAAATGATATTTAAAAAACCGAAACTTTATCCCACTGAAAAATTATACGCAGATGTTCGAATGTATGATATAAGACAGCTTTATTTCTTACACAGTATCACTCACTACCATAAATTTGTAAACACCGACCAAAAAATTAAACATAATCATTATACCAGGTACAAAATTCGTGGCACAGTAGTTCCTCAACCGCATAAATCTATAATGCAGCGATCATATCTCTATTTAGCGCCTAAATTTTATGAAATTATACCTAAAGACTTAAAAGATTTACGTTTCGGAAATTGTTTCAAAAGAAATTTAAAAAAAAGTGGCTTCATTCTATATCTAGGACTGAAATTCAAAAACGCATAAATACGAACATCAACTAAATACATAATCTACTGTAGCTAATTTTTGTCCTTTTTTGTCATTTGCATTCTACAGTTTCAACTTAAATTATTGGTCCATGTACAGGCGATGCCTTCTATTGGGCCTGTTTTGATTTTATATTTATTTACTCATATTGTTTGTTATCTTTGTACATTGAGTGAATAAATATTATTATTATTATTATTATATTGTGTTGTAAAAGTGTTTCTCGTAATTTTGTGAATTCAATGACTGTAATTTCTTTCATTGAACAAACAGTCTGACAGCATTATATGGAAATAGATCGGAACAGAAATACGCAGTAAAAATAATACCCGTTTAGAAAATTAAATACAGAGAGCCCATAAATCTTATGGTAATCAAAGACCTTTTACTGTACAGGAAGGAAAAATTTTATATTTGCCAGAATATTTGGTATATGGCAGTTTTAGAATTGTTAACACTTCCGACTGTGCTAACAAGGCATTCCTGTCCATTTTCTGAGGTTACCACAAGACTATTTATCACTTACTCTCTACTTTTATTACCTTTTTCTGTATCATATTTTGTTTTCGTTTGATAGAATCCTATGGGACCAGGTTTCTTCGGCTACACCAACGAGGCATTTAAGATATTGCGGCGCAGAAAAACAATGCCCAATCTGTACCCTGAACTGATGAAGCCATCTGAGCAATTGAAAAATAATCAGCCAACAGCGAATTCAATCAAACTGGACCAATCGTTGTTTGAACCTAAGTTACAGATTTTCCCAAAAAGTGCCACGAGAAATTTCTCAAAGCTCTCCAGCGGAGCAGGAAATTTCTTTGTTATGCCGAAGGTAAGTACTTTTATATCAGAAAGGACATTCAAAAATAACTAAAAGATTACTATAAACATACAGGGTTTGTCCGGAAAGTAATAGGACTGAGTCGATTCAAAAAAATTTATTGAGCCAATCGTTACAATTCTTTAAAAACTTTCAAAATAGGCTCCTTCTGTGTCGATGCAGCGCTGCCAGCGCGATTTCCAAGCATTGAAGCACAGCCGACGTCAACTACGAGCCGTGAACAAAGAAATCTGGCAACGTAGCTGGTAGTGTTACTCCCGCCGCTGCTTGCTGCATCGACGCAACTCGTGCTCAAAACGCTGAGAAAACATACCTTTTCAATTTGTGATTTTGGAATCCCAGAGGCTGTAATTAAGAGATAAGCTTGTTTTCTAAGCTTCAAAGTGTGTGTATGTGTTCAAAGTGATCGGTGACTATAATATATGAGAAATAGACTCCAGTCTTCTGTGCTTTAAAAATAAACTAAGAAGTGTGACTGTGGCTGTTCGCGCCTCAGGACGCTAAGGATTTCAACTATTGAAAACGTGCAAATTCCGGTTGTATTTTTCTTTTTTCATTTATCAAGTATTTGACGCAGACAATATGCCTCGTTGTTGCTGTGTTCCTTTATGCAATGCAAACTATAATTCTGCTTTGAAAACGGAAAGCTATGTTTCAACTTTTCGCTTCCCAAGTACCGAAAGTCTGAAAAACAAATGGCTTATGGCAATTCCCAGAAAAAATTGGACACCTTCAAAATATTCAGCTGTGTGCAGTCGTCATTTTAGAGAATCGGATATCATCAGGACAGAAAATATAGTTTTGGCGGATGGAACAGTCCAAAATAATATACCTTTGAAATATCCAAAATTGAAAGAAAATGCTGTTCCCTCCATTTTCCCAAACTTGCCATCATATCTTTCAAAAACTGAAGCACCCAAAAGAACTGACCCAATGCAAAGAAAACAAAAATTAATTGAGAAACATGAAAAAGCTATCCTGAATTTCGATGATATGGATAAGATCAAAGATAAATTTAGTTCAAAAATGTGGATTTGAAGTTATTTGTGTTGTTACTGATAATCACCGAATTAATAGAGCAATGTTCAGGAAATTAGCAAAGGATTCATCAGAAAATTATTCTATTCCAAATCCACATAATCCTTATAAGAACATATATTTAATTTATGATGTTGTGCGTATTTTCAAGAGTATCAGAAATAATTGGATTAATTTAAAAAACCTAGACAAAACTTTTGTATATCCTAATTTTGACAATAATGATATTATTCAGTATGCTAAATTTGAAAACATTCGTGCTGTATATCAATTGGAAAAAGAAACTGTAGTTAAGCAAGCATATAAATTAAATTATAAAACATTCCATCCAAATTCATTTGAAAGGCAAAATGTAAATTTTGTAGATAATTTATTCCATCACTCAACAATAGCTGCTATGAAAGAATTAATGTTTAATGATGCTGCACACTTTTTGGAAATAATCAGGAATTGGTGGGATATTGTCAGTAATACAAGTGTAATAAAAGGAGAATTGAAGCGAAACGAATTTTGTAAGCCTATTACCAATAAATATGATTATAGAGTACAATTTTTGAAAAAATTCCTGACACCAGAAACGTATACAGCTCTATATCAAAGCACGCTGACTCTACTTAATATAATTGAATATTCATTTAATCAATTTGACATTGAGTATGTATTGCCTGGAAAATTCACCACTGATAATTTAGAAAAACGATTTGGCAATTATAGACTTTTATGTGGCTGCAATTACAATGTGTCATATGATGAAATTTTAAACGCTGAAAAGAAAATACGGCTGAAGCATATTTTCAATGAAAATAAATCGTCATTTTCTTTAGCAGAAATTAAAACAAGGTTCCAAAACTGCTTAGAAACTCAAGAAAATTTTGATTTCTTGGATACCAAACAAAATCCTGAAGTTTTGGATATATTCAATGAAGTATTTGAGATAAATTACTTAGCCAATTGTGACATAGAGGATAGTACTAAGACTTATATATCTGGATATGCTTCACACGCTATCTCTAAAAACCTAAACTGCGAGATATGCAAATCGCTAATAGTTAAAGAAAAAGGTTCATTAACAACAACTGTTTATTTCGATCATTTGCAAAGAGGAGGACTGTCAATTCCAACCAGTTATGTACCAATCATATTCTACCATATGTATGCCATTTTTGAATCTATTATTAATGTAGATAGATTGGAAATTTTCTTCTTGAAAAGCAATAATCAAAAATTTATTTTGTGTCAGTTAACCTTGCTCAGCATTTAGTCTGACTTTATATACAGTGAATTTTCTTCAACTTGCATCTGTGGCCGCAATTATGCAGATATTTTATTCAAGCTTTTGTCTATTTTTTCAAACATAATTTTGAATGATTATGTAAAATTGAAAAATAACAGTAAAACTGAAAGTAAATGTATTAAAAACAAACAGGTAACTCCACATTTTCAAGCTGGGCCTGATGGAACACAGTGTGCTGGCACCAAAAAACGTAAACTAAATACCTTTAATTAGGTTAACTGCATTAGCGACTCATATATATCACGATTATTTCGTATTTTTAAATTTTTTAGAGCTATTTCATATTCAGACGATTTGTATCGAATCGGACTGTCCTCTTTTCCAAAATTAAATTTAGTTCTTGAACCTTACACGGAGACGGAGCACACAGCCGATGGCGGCCGACGTTCACAGGTAGCACTACCATGCCGTCCGAGCGCGGTGTTGCCTTTCTTTCATCACGACTCGTAGTTGACGTCGGCTCTGATTGAGGGCGTTTCATCCGCCTTTTCAGGCGAGGAAACAAAAAAAAGTCGGGGGGGCGGCACATCTGGGCTGTAGGCCGGCTGCGGAAGCCTTGGGATGCCGGCCTTGGTCAGGTAGCTGTTCACAAGAAAGGCGGTGTGAGCCGGGGCGTTGTCGTGGTGCAACTTCCAGTCGACTGCGATGTCTTGTCGGACCCGACTGACCCTTCGTTTGAGTCTCCTGAGCAGATATTTAAATGACTCGACTACTTCAATTTTTTCATCATTAATCATGAGCCTAATTCTATTGTCACCTAAATGTTTCCCTATTGACATACATTTTGTTTTATTAGTGTTTAATTTAAGTTTATTGACATTTAACCAATTCATAAGTTTTTTAATATCACTATTTAACTAGTCTAATATTTTTATTGTCTGAAGAGCCTGAAAGTTTACTGAAAATGTTGTCCATTCCAGATGTCCAGTAGTACAGTTAAAGAAGCAACACAAGCAGTCGCTCCTTGTCCAACTGCAGTAGTTTCACCACCATTCATTCAGTTAGTCCAAATGACTTCGGTTGCGGCCACGAATGTTATATCTGTCGGTCAACCGACGTTCACTTCGGTACTATCAAAAGCCGGTACTGCTACCAGTGCCAGTACCGCTTCTACACCAGGAATCGTCAAAGTTATTTCAGCTAATCTTTCGCCTGTCATGGAAGCAACTGGCTCGAAACTACCTGCTATTGCTCCGAAGCTCCAAGCAGTCACGTCTACAGCAGGGAGTGCCAATTCACTGCAGTCAGCTTCAACCCAGGTTGGAACTGTCTTTGTCACACCAGTAGTCACCGCTTCAGGAACCAGTCTGATCAGTCCTCAAGTCATGGTTTCTTCCTTCCCGAGTATTTCTGATTCTGTCAGCTCGTCTGCTCAAAGCAGTTTGAGCAGTAGAACAACAGAAGAAGACGAAGATGGAGGGGTTGCTCCATTAGAGCAAGTTATATTAGGTATGGTGATAATACTGCGTGGTAATACAATAATAATAGAAAGGTCATCATTAACGTTGTATTCGGACATGGTGATAATTACGTGGGCCGGTTTTTTTGGTATTGGGAGGTATTATTAATTAGCGCTTACCCTGAAGAGTATTTTTCTTGACCTGCTTGGCTTTTCCCTAATAAACGGATGTTGCTGTTATGTTCAATGTGTATTCGGCATTTCTCAAATATATATATATTTATTTAAAATAATCTGTGATGTTGCTACTGAATTTTTCTGTTTGCCTTGCTTTGCGAATATTCCGGTCTTTTCAACATATAATATTTTTAAAATCATTTGACACTATTTCATTTAACCAGAGATTTAAGGCGGCCAGATTAGAGTTACTACAGGGGATAATTAAAGGGCTGGGTTCCAAAAAGCAATTTCTAAATAAAGGTTGGTAAAATGCAGGTACCCAAATAAGTTAATGAGGTGCCGACTCCATATTACAGGGAAAACCAAACTGGTTTACTTTCGGAACAGGTTATAGGACTGGTTGGTAGAAACCATTTGTCGACAAAACTCCATTCCTTGCGATTTAAACCAGCCCAAAGATTATGATATTTAGATAGCTATGCGTAATAATATAGATATTTGCTAAGATTGAGAAAAAAAACTATTTTGGATTTTTGGACCATTTCATGCTCTCGTCTTACAGGATGTCATCAAAAAATTTCGAATTTCTCTCACGAGATTTTGTGAAATGTAACTCCCCATTTTGACCCTGTAAATGAAAATAGCGGAAAATTTTACGTTGGTCTTTACCATTTTTAAATTTTGACCTTGGGGAGGTCATGGTCAAGGTCAAACCCAGGTATCGCGATATAACTTGAAAACCAGTAGTCGTGTAGGGAAACTACCTGGACATTATTTTTACGATTTTCCCCCGGATATCAAATGACGACCTTGGATCTGACCTTAACCATGATGACCTCCAAGGTCATGTGGTGAAGACGATTTTTGTAGTCGGGCAACAATCCTGAAAGAACAGTGAAGTCAGTTTATCCAAAGATTACACATTCTGAATTATCAAGAAATTAGGGTATACTTGTGTTTGACCTTGATGGTCAAGTTAAAAGAATGTGAAAATTTTCCAATTTTTTTTATTTCCACGGTCAAATCAATTCCGCCTCATTAAAAAAGGAAGTTGATCTACAAATGATCTTGATCTTCATCGCCAAGGTCTGATCCAAGGTCGCCATTGGATATTCGGGAAAAAAATAAATAATTTTTGGGCAGTTTCCCCTATACAACCACTGGCTTTCTAGTATTTTGGGGTTTTTGGACGATTTTATGCTCTCGTCTTACAGGATGTCATGAAAAAATTTGGAATTTCGATTATGATGAGATTTTTGACCCTGTAATTGATATGAGACGTTGGTCTTGACCTTGGGGAGGTCATGGTCAAGGTCAAACCCAGGTATCGCGATATAACTTGAAAACCAGTAGTCGTGTAGGGAAACTACCTAAACATTATTTTTTTTTCCCCGGATATCAAATGACGACCTTGGATCTGACTTTATCCATGATGACCTCCAAGGTCATGTGATGAAGTCGATTTTTGTAGCCGGGCAACAGTCCTGAAAGAACAGTGAAGTCAGTTTATCTGAAGATTACACAGTTTTCAGAATTATCAAGAAGTTAAGGTAAACTTGTGATTGACCTTGGTCACTTCCAAGGTCATGTTAAAAGCATTCTGGCTCAAAAGTGTAGGGTCTCATTAAAAAAGGAAGTTTATTTACAAATGACCTTGAACTTAATCGCCAAGGTCAGATCCAAAGTCGCCATTAGATATTCAGGGAAAAATAATGAAAATAAATAATTTTTGGCCTGTTTTCCCTATACGACTACTGGCTTTCTAGTTATACGTATATCACCGTGCCCGGGTTCGACCTTGACCATGATCTCCTAAGGGCAAAATTTAAGAATGGTGAAGACCATATTTGAACGTATAATTTTCCGCTCTTTTTATTTACGGATTCAAAAATGGGGGGTTTTAAATGACCTCGACGGTCATGGTCAAGGTCAAATCCAAGGTTCTCATTGGATAGGTGGAGAAAACTGTTATCAATCGCGGAGCTTAGTTTTTTCCTACCTTTATTAGTTGACAAATTATCGTGGTGTTTCGAAACCTTCCAGCATTTGAGCATTTTCTCCATGAAATCCTCGTCTCATCGTTTATTATTTGAGCGGTCCGCATGACCTTGACTCTTGTCTGGCAGAATGTTTTTTTCTCCAAAATCTTCCTGTGCCAAGCCAGGGGAGATTTTTTATTAAGAAGAAGATAGAGGAAGACGAAAGAAAGGAAGCAAAGGGTAAAAAGAGGGACTAAGAAATCACCACCTAGCCAATACCTATTTATAAAATACAATAGTAATATTTTAAATGCTCAATACCTGCTCCCTAATGTGCCGTCCGCCAAGAACAAGAACACTGAATAATTTACCTGTATCGTCTTTACCTGCCTATTACTTTGGCAGGTACAACAGCAGATGACACTAGTGGTGATGCCAGTGCTCTAAGCGAAGATGCCGCCGACCCCCTGTCAGTGAGCGTGGACCCTTTGGCCTCCGCCGGAGATCCTTTGAATACCTCTGCTGATCCTTTGGATATTAATGAGACAAGCGAGTCTGCGATAGTACGGGACGGCTTCAGCTCGGATGATGAAGCGGATGCATCATCTACGTCCAAAGATATGGCGAATGAGAAAGAAGTTACAGGATTGTTAGGTATGTGTTGATGTGTTTTTTTAATTAATTTACAATGTGACTATATTTTGAGTATAAACCTTAATTCAAGCCAACTTAAAGGCAGTTATGCAGACGAAATAATCATATTCTGGTTTTATTGGTGCAAGTTGTTCAAGGGGGTATTTAAAACATGGACGCATAAAATGGGTACACCAATTTTTGTGGGAAAACTTTTTATTTGATAACTAGAATGAGAAAACGTGTTTTTGGGATTCAATCGAAAGTGTTGACAGAACAAGATAACTTTTCATACAAGATTTTTAGGTATTTATGACACCTACAAAATGATACCACACGTAAAAAGATCCGACTAATAGTAAAAAAGTTATGGCCGAAAAACGGGGCAAATGCAGGTTTTGGTAATGGGACGATGGTTTCTCGCAGATACTTGAAATTTTTCAAATTCGTAGAATTCGTACTTCTACAGGGTGTTTCAGTTTATTGTTGCATAACTTTAAGATTCGATAGAACTTTTAAAATTAATGCATAAAGTCTATATAAACATGGGTCGAAAAATGCGTGGCTTCCGAAATACAGGGTGTTTAAATTTACTTTCTAAAATAGTTTTTTTTAAATATTTCGAACAATATTTGATGTATAACAGTGAAAATTGGTATACAAGGGTTTTTGGTACGACAAAACGAAACATCGGCATAGTTTTACTGTAGCCGCTAGAGGGCGCCCTCTACTGTACCTGTAGTGTATTAAAATGACCGAAAATTTTTTCTCAGTGCAATTTTTTGCTTTTTGAATAAAAACTGATTCTTCGCACTTTTCAACATAAAAAAGTTCTCTTGTGAATTTTCGTTTCGTTATAGTTAGCCGTTTTTGAGATATTTCGATTTTTAAGGTTCGATGCATTTTTAATTATTTATGGGAAAATAATATTTTATTTTTACATTTTCGATTTGGGCATTACAAGTAATTAAGATGATCGTTTAGATTGTGTTTTTAAACACAGCAATAATTCCTAACTCCAAATAAACACAAAAAAACAGAATATTAATTTGTTTAATTTTCCAATATTATTTTTAACAAATTAAATTAATTATTTACAACTAAACTGCTATTGGATAGTTAGGACAAACATACAAAATCTAAAGTAGTTGCTCGAAATGTAAACCCAATTGATCAATACACAATTCACATCTACAAATGATCGAACGTGGTATAGCATTATTCAAATAAGGCCTTATTTCATCACATGCATTCCTGATTCTGTCTATTAGCATATATCTTGTGGTTACAGGAGTCTGGTACACTTTTTCTTTTAGAAATCCCCACACAGAGAAATCTAATGGATTTAGGTCAGGGGATCGTGGAGGCCAGGCGACTGGTCTTCCACGGCCGATCCATCTTTCTGGATAATTTTCGTCCAGCCAGTTTCTAACTATTCTAGAATAATGAGCTGGACAACCATCAAGCTGTAACCAGACCAATCTTCTTAAATCTAATATAACATCATCCCACATATTTGCATGTTCAGCCTTTAAAAATTCCAAGAAGGTCGCAGCATTTAACCTTGCAGGCAAAAGGTAGGGTCCAAATAGTCGATTACGGTAGATACCAATCCACACGTTCACACTAAATTCATGCTGAAAATTTCTTTCCCGAACTGCATGCGGATTTTCATGCGACCAAATATGTTGATTATGAAAATTTACCATTCCACGTCTAGTGAAGCATGACTCATCGGTCCATAAAACATTACTTAAAAACTCCCTATTATTATCAGTTCTATCAAGAATGCACTGACAAAATGTGATTCTTCGTTCTCCGTCCCCTGGCTGTAGTCCTTGCACAGGTTGCAAATGGTAAGGACGTCTATGGTCATTTCTAAGAACACGGTGAACAAGGCTTGCTGAAATTCCCAAGGCACCAGAAACTCTCCTAACACTTGTGGTCGGATCTCTATCAAACTCACGCAGAATCATACGGGTAAATCTGCGCTAACGAACATTTATGTTTTGATCCCTTTGGAGATTTCCAAAACCATTTTCAATTATTTGGCGATGCACTCTTACAAATACTGAGCGAGTTGGATGTCGTCTGTTTGGAAATCTTCGTGCGTATTCTCTGGCTGCTTCTGCTGCGTTTCCATTTACAAAGCCATACGCAAAATGAATATCCGCTAACTCTTGATTGGAGAATGAAAATGGCATTTTTATAAAACTTACAAAAAAAAAACAGGTAAAAGAAACTAAATTTCGTGCATTCACAATTGCAAAAAAACGTTTCAGGTTTCAACAGACAACAAAACTAACTGTCAACTAATTGACGTTTAACCTTATTCTGCTTTCAATTTTAAAAATATTTGCAGGCACAGCCTACTTCTAAAAATTATTGCGATACTGACTTTTTAACGTTGTTTTATCATAAATAATTAAAAATGCATCGAACCTTAAAAATCGAAATATCTCAAAGACGGCTAACTATAACGAAAATTCACAAGAGAACTTTTTTATGTTGAAAAGTGCGAAGAATCAGTTTTTTTATTCAAAAAGCAAAAAATTGCACTAAGAAAAATTTTTCGGTCATTTTAATACACTACAGGTACAGTAGAGAGCGCCCTCTAGCGGCTACAGTAAAACTATGCCCATGGTTCGTTTTGTCGTACCAAAAAACCCTTGTATACCAATTTTCACTGTTATACATCAAATATTGTTCGAAATATTTAAAAAAAACTATTTTAGAAAGTAAATTCAAACACCCTGTATTTCGGAAGCAACGCATTTTTCGACCCATGTTTATATAGACTTTATGCATTAATTTTAAAAGTTCTATCGAATCTTAAAGTTATGCAACAATAAACTGAAACACCCTGTATATAATCACAACTAAATTGGAGTATATTGGTCAAGTAGTTTTTTGAGAATTTCTAATTGTTTATCCCAAAGCACCTGTTTTCCGGCCATCACTACTAGTTTATTGAGGAATATACAAAAAACACGTTTTCTCATTCCTTGTTGTCGAATAAAAAGTTTTCCCACAAAAATTGGTGTACCCACTTTATGCGTCCATCGTTTAGATATCCCCTTGAACAACTTGCAGCAATAAAGCCAAACTTTACAATTATTTCGCAAACCAGTGGTATTTTCGTCTAATATGTTACCGTACGTTCACAATTTTACCACCTCTACGTCCTTCTCGACTCGTTTTCAGGTTACCAGCTATATCGCTGTGCGTTTTGTGACTTCTCCGCATCGAACCAAGATAGTTTCCGTAATCACCAGATCAGCTCGACAGATTGCCGCGCGGTGACAGAGATTGACAGCCCGTTCATGGCGCAACTGCGACTGTTTGAATGCGTTCATTGCGGCAAACGGCTACGTACCGCCTCCAAGCTGACGGAGCACATTAACGATCACGGGAACCTGAAGTATACATGCGCTCTGTGTGACGAAAAGTCGGCGACGGTGCACAAAGCTAAGATGCACATGAAGAGCAGGCACAACGTCGCACAGACTCTGCTCAGTCAGGTAGGAATTTTTTTGTATTCCAGGTCGGAACTCAAAACCTTTAGGATTGATGGAAAAGATGAACAGTGAATATATATATATATATATATAAAACTAATAAGACCGTGGACGCCTATAATAACTTCAAATCGCTTAGAAACCGTGCTCTTAACATGATCAGGAGGGACGAAAAGACATATATCGAAAATTTGGCAAATGAAAATGATTCAAAAAAATTGTGGAAGTCTCTCAAACAACTTGATATAAATTTTCGTAGTAAACCAACCCTTCCGGCAAGTTTTAATGACCCTACCAAAATTAATGATTATTTTATGTCTGTTTATAGCTATAAACCTGTTGATTCACTAGTTTGCGAAAACTATTTCAAAAATAAATTGAGCTCTGAATATATTTTTTCATTGAATAAGATTAGTTCAAATGACGTATTACAGGCAATAGGGAGCCTAAAATCTGATGCGAAGGGAATTGATGGTATATCCCTGTCAATGATCCAGCTTTGCCTGCCAGTTATTCTCCATCACATCGTCCACATCTTTAACGACTGTTTGGAAAAAGGCTACTTTCCAAACACATGGAAACAAGCTCTAATTATTCCAATTCCTAAAAAAATGAAACCCACTGAGTATAATGATCTCAGACCTATCAGTTTATTACCAATTTTATCCAAAATTTTAGAAAAAATTGTAAAGTTCCAATTGACCGCTTACCTAGAAAAATTCTTTATACTTCCCGACACTCAATCCGGATTTAGAAAAAATTATAGTACAACATTCGCCCTACTTAATCTGCAAGACAATATTTTAAGTGCCTTAGATAAGAAAATGGCACTAGCCTTAATTTCTATAGACTATTCGAAGGCCTTTGACAGCATCAATCATAAATTATAACTTGCTAAATTAAATTACATAGGTCTTGACAGTGTATCCCTTTCATTTTTCGACAGTTACCTTCATCAAAGAACTCAGTGTCTTTTTCTCAATCAAGAAATGTCTCAAGTGACAATAATTCCCTCAGGCGTACCTCAGGGCTCTGTATTGGGGCCGCTTCTGTTCCTCATATATACGTTCGACTTAAGCAAAAGTATTGATAATTCTCATGTCCAGTCATTTGCAGACGATACGCAATTGCTTCATTATTTTAACCCAGATAATGTCAATAATACTACTCAAATTTTACAAAACCATGTTAATAAATTAATTAAATACTCTTTAGATCACAATCTACTTATTAATCCACAAAAATCTAAAATGTTATTATTTTGCGCACAAAGAAAAACATACAATGTAACACAACTCTTGAACATTCAGATAAATAACCAAATCTTGCAATTTTCTGATTCTGCAAAAATTCTTGGTGTTGTTTTTGATACAAAATTAAGGTTTATTGAACATGTTAAAAGTCTATCTCAGAAAACCTACCTACGGCTGCGCACTCTTATAGCAAACAGGTATTTACTAAATTTTAAGATGCGTAAAAAACTATCTGAAGCATTGGTCATATCTGTACTAAATTATTGTAATATCGTATACCATACTTGTTTAGACAATTTCACTAAAAACGTTATTCAAGTTATTCAAAACAATTGTATACGATTCATTTTTGGCTTACGTAAATTTGATCATGTATCGGCGAAATATCCCGTTCTAAACTGGTTAAAAATTAATGACATGGTCAAGTATCACTATTCAGTTTTTGTTCACAAATTGCTGCTCACGTCTAAACCTTATTACTTGAAGGAAAAAATTTCATTTAATAATGATGTTCACTGTAGAACTCTCAGAGAAAATAATATTAGAATACCCCTGCATACATCTACACTTTTTAAACGCAGTTTTTCTTACAATGTTGCTATTATTTATAATGACCTTCCTAAAGTATATAAAGAATTTTCATTACCTGTCTTTCGATAAAAAGTTAAAACATTATTACTCAACCCTCCAAACATATAATTTACGTAATCATTCATTTCTTTTTTATTCCATCTTTAATTCAGATTAATAATTTTTTGGTGCATTTGGGTTTGGAAAGTATGCCTTTTTCTCTTTTCTTTTAAAAATTTTACTTTCGATGTAATGAACCAAATCTGTTTGTGGATAGTGTATTCTTTTGAACATCTGCTAGAGACTATATGGTTAAGTGTAAGAGGTATCGAGTAATAGCTTGTTTGAAAGGTATTTCGAAGTCCTTTATTTTGACGCTTGATTTTTTAAAATCGGTCGATTCGTTTTCAAGAAAATTAGAAATTTTTTTATCTTACTTGGTTCAATTAGAAAAAAAAACACACGAAAACACCCCTTTTCATTTCAATGAGTGTTCAACACGGATCCAGAGCCCTTTGAACTTTACAATTATGTGCTAATATGATTAACTATATAATATTATAACGGAAAGGACAGCTTTTAATACCATATTGGCTTTATCAGGTACAATTCGACAAAGATGGCGTCTACGTTTTGAAACCAAAGCTGTTGAGTGCTATCCCATTGATAGAGCAGCCATCAGATGCATCAACTTTTACTCCCCAAAAAGAGGAAATAACGTTCCTGCCTCAAGATATAGATGTCATTCCACATCGTAGTATATTTAGCACAGAAGTGAGGTAAGGTGACGTTTCTTTTACTTACCTGAGAATCAGTGGGCAATAGAATACCAGTAGGAAAGTTCACTGTTCGATTTAAGAAGACTTAACGAAAAGAAAACATTCATTACTATCAACATATTCGTAAATTCAGCGGGTTTTATTTCTTAAATGAATGTTTGCCATCACTTCGGACACACTCTTCTAATCGCGCGCGCAAATTGCAGAGTTCCGGAGTGATGTTGATTATTTCTCGTCGAATGTTGTCTTCATGCTCCTCCAGTGTTCGTGGATTATTGGAATATACTTTTGACTGTAGATAACCCCACAAAAAAGAATCGCATGGCGTGAGGTCGAGTGACCTAGGAGGCCAGTGAATGTCTCCAAACTTCGATACAACTTTCACCGTGTCCATCGATTCTCTGGTAGTATGGGCAGTGGCCCCATCCTGTTGAAACCATGTGTTTCTGTAAAATCGACGTTCCGTTCTTATAATAGGAGCAAAAAAGTGTCAATCATGTCCTTGTATCGCTCGGAAGTGACTGTCAATGCATGACCGTTTTCATCTTCAAAGAAATACGGCCCAATAATAACGCTAGAGGATATGACGCACCAAACAGCCACCTTTGGACTATGTAGCTGTTGTTGATGTATCTCTTTTGAGAAATGGGCCTCGTCATTGAAAACAACGTTCTCGAGTCTGCGCTGCGTAGGAAAAAGATTCAACATCCATTCAGCACAAGATTTCCGCAATACGCGATCACTTTCCTTTAAAGCATGGACTGATTGGATGAAAACCCATTTTTTTCTTCATTATGCCATGCAGTGTTGACCTAGGGATTCCCAAAGCAGCGGAATGCTTCCGCACAGAACACTGACAATTTGCAATGACCGAATCACTTATTCGGTTGATACAGTAGGTGTGGAGCAAGGAATGGATTGACTAAGATTTTTCACTAGGTTCTTATTTGGAGCATCTTTTGGTCGGCGAATGTTGTATAGTGTAGAAAATTTCCGAAGGGCAGCTGCGTATGAATCACCACTCGATAGCAAAAGCACGTTATGCTCCGGTCCAGCGTTCCATTGTGACTATTTAACCCGCACGCCGAACGCGTCGATCAAGACCTCTCCCCACTTCCTCGCGTATACGGTTACCACGTAATTCAAATTTGAAATGTGAACTTTCCCACTGGACACCCTGTTTTATATAACAATGTTTGTTGATTTTTTTCAAAGCACGTGTTGATGTATTTAGTGGCATCTGTGGCCGACGTGACTACGAGTATCTTTTTCAAGCATATAAATCAGAGTACGCGTACACGTCAGTGTCCTTAGGTATCTAAGTAAACGACGAAATTCCTGAAATAAATATTTTTACACGCACGCTTGTTTTCTTTCTAGATGTGGCGTGTGCTCGTATAGTACCAAAGTACGCACCAACTTGTTGCGTCACTTGCAGTTCCACCAGCAAGAGAAAGAAGTTCCTACTACGGCACCGGTCAATCCAGTGCCGTGTCTTGAGAAAAACGAGAAGATGTTTGATAAGATGGTGAATCTTGCTGGTAGTTCTCACGCAAATAGTAGCAGGATGGGCGGTGCTTCAGGAAAGTCATCAGAGGTCAAAGGTATTTTTCTGACACATTTATTTAGTTTTTGTCTTTGATGTATTTCTAGAGTTAGGGTCTTGGTTGAGGGTTTATACTGTACCCTCAGCAAAGATATTCAAAAAATTCATTGACTTGGATAAGCTGGTATAGGTATGTGGGTATTTCTCAGCAAATTTCGAAATTCATGTCCTGAGCCATTGATGCTAAATTGGATTTATCGTCAATTTAACAATTTTATTATATCAATAAGTATCAACCACTAATATTTTAAAAGAAAAAATTTGGATAATATATTGACACAAAAAAATACGATTAATTTATTAGTCTTAAGTCTTTCCCTCATCTCGTCCCTGGGTCTGAAATTAATAATAAAAAAATATATACAATCAAATCTGTTCATATTCTTATGAATTGAATATTACTAAAATATTTGGTAATAAGTATGGATTGTATAGTCAAGCTTTCATTGCTAAGAAATATGCATATAAAAAAATTATTTAAACTATGTCCCTTGAAATGAAATCATTCCAGCAACTAAAGTGTTTTCGCCTTTAAAGAATATACAAGTTCCTGACGTTGAAAGAAAAAGACTCATTTTCGGAGAAGCACTGTCAACGGACCTCAAGAATATCTATGAAGATCTTGGAAGTAAACATGGAGAAAAGAAAAAATATTACAAAATCTTGAAGCTGCAATTAGTACAAAAGATACAAATTGCTATATAGATCGAAATATTTTTCAAAAACGATACGTACAGAAAGAACTGTACTCGTAAAGTTAGCTCCAAAATGCTGAAAGTTAAGGGTGATGTTAATTTCTTAGAGAAGGATGAAAATAATGTGCCAAGCAAAGAAGGACTATCTAAGCTCTCTAAAGTATAAAACAAATCTGAATACATCTATTGATAAATTAACTTATGTTTTTTATTGAAATTCAGCATCAAATTGTTGTAAAACTCATTCCCCCATCCTATCAGTCATTCCCTCATTTCATAGTTTTTTAAGAGTCATTTTTCTACAAGTTATACACATAAATATGGAGGACCTTCATTTTCAATGAACCTCACTAAAGTAAAACTTTATATTTCTGCAAAAAAAGGATATATCTTAATTATTTTTTTTAAGAAATGCAAAATGAAATTTCTAAATTTGTTGAGAAATACCGATGTATATATGTACCCAGGGCTTTAAAGACTCTGGGAACGGATCGGCACAGGGGACGTAAACGCTTATTACGCCCAATATACATACAAAATGTTATCTCCGATCATCTAAGATAAAACGTTCAGGGTAGCTATTGAGAAGGGTTAAAAATAACACCTAGTAAAATTTTCATTATTTCAGCCGAAGAAGCTGTTCCTGAATTCGTACCGTCTCATCACCGATACGCCTGCTGTGCAGATGCTTGCAACTACATCTGCCCGGAAGAAGGTAACCTCCGACACCATATAGATGCGCTTCATGCTGACGAAGCGGCGCTGAAATGCCGCTGTACACACTGTGGAGTCGACCTCGGTGCAGGGGCTGACGCAGACGCCATCCTCAGGCATCTCAAATTGCACGGCAGGCAATTGTACAGGTGTTCCAGATGTGACTTTGTACACAACCAACGGCATAAGGTGGAAAGGCATGTGGCAGATGTGCACGCGGGCGAAATTACGGCTAAAGTTGTTGTCGTTAGGTAAGTTTTTCTAAATCATAGCATACAGTAGCGGACGAAAGATTGGAAACATTCTTAGTATATTTTAAAAAGTGTGTTATGTTTTTATTCTTTATTCGTAAGGACTATTTTTTTTCTCATATGCTTACAGTCTTGAGGATACAAATGACAATTTGTGTTTGCTGTGGTACTACTAACATATATTCCAAGAAAATAGTTTATAATGCAATTATTCTACCGCATTTACTATATTGTTCAACTATCTTGTTCACTGCCTATGAAGCTGTATTCTCAAAAAGTGCTGCAAAAAGATTTTATTTTAGTGTACTTTTTTTATTCAATATTATTCTCATAGATTTCATTTTAGTGTACTTATTTTTATTCAATATTATTCTCATAGCTTTAAAGTTACAAGAATTGCAGTGGTTGTATATAAAAAATTTCATATCATATTTGGTTCCTTTTTTCTCCTTCATCTGTTGCCACAACATTTATAACACTACATAGAATTGAATAATCATTACCACAATTATTATACAAGAGGAAATACAGATTTTCATTTAAAAAATTGCAATACTAATATAGGGTGCGCCATCTATTACTTTTTTTTACCTATAGGTTTATGTGTTACCATGTGAGTCAAAAGTCATGTGGTATTCATGAATGAACTGTCAAGGGTATGCCATTTATAGTCATGGATTCGTTTACAACACAACAACGCATTTTGGTTATCCAAACTTATTATGAAAACGGTCGAAATACTTTTCGCAAACTTCGCACTAGTTTTGGCCGACATGGACGCCCTTCAGAGCCTGGAATTCATTGGATTGTTAATCGTTTTGAGGAAACTGGTAGACCATACCAACATGCTCGTCCAGCTCGTACTCGTAAAAACATAGCCGCAGTGAGTGAAAGTGTGCGAGAAGATCCAACCACCTCGACTAGGCACCGTTCGAAATAATTGGAAATTAGTGAGACCACTTTACGCCGGATTTTACACATTGGTTTACACCTCCATCCATAAAAAATCCAACTAACTCAAGAATTGAAGCCGGTAGACCATCAATAACGGCGTCTTTTTGTTAATTGGATGCTGGAAAGAGAATACGGATTTTCGGCCAAAGTCTTCTGATGAGGCTCATTTTCACCTCAATGGGTACGTAAATAAGCAAAATTGCAGATTCTGGAGGGGCTGAAAATCCACACCGATATCATGAACAATCTCTCCATCCTGAAAAAGTGACTGTTTGGTGCGGATTATGGGCTGGTGGCGTCGTTGGACGATTCTTCTTTGAAGATGCCGAAGAAAAGGCCATTACCGTCAACGGGAAACGTTATCGCGGTATGTTAACAGACTTTTTGTGGCCATAATTGGATCGTATTGGTGCCGACGATCTTTGGTTTCAACAAGACGGAGCAACGGCTCACACATCTCGCCAAACAGTCGCCTTAATGCACACCAAATTTCAAGACCGCACAATTTCACTAAATTCAGATGTCAGTTGGCCCCCGAGATCGTGCGATTTAACACCTCTTGACTCTTTTCTTTGGGGATTTTTGAAAGGAAAAGTGTATGCGAATGGTCCCCGGACAATTCAAGGCCTAAAGCGTAATATTCGGACTGAAATTGCGGCCATAGACCCGATTATTCTGGGAAAAGTCATTGAAAATTTTGATGTTCAGATGTTGGCCTGTAAACGAAGCCGCGATAGTCACATGACTGATGTCATTTTTCATACATAAATGGCATAAACCAACCTTCATTTATCAATAAAAAAATTCGATTTCACCTCGTAAAAAGCCGATTGATCAAATAGAAAAAAAAGTATTAGATGACGCACCTTGTATAACTAGCTAATCAATATTTCAGAAAGGATTACATGAATTTAATAAACTAAATAATGATATAAAGTCTACTTGTAATGTAAAGATGTTCAAAAGAAAATTAAAGCAATATTTCATGGACAGTGAAAATTCATAGCGATGCAAATTTTTTACTAAATACCTGTATGTTATGTAATTGTTTAGTTTTTTAGAAGAATATAATTGTAGCAATCATGCTAAATACATCTGAACAAACAAAATTTTCAAGCAAGTGACGGCGTTGAACTCTTGAATTTTGATGTTTTGGATGTGTTCTAGAAACATGGAATCTGAACCCGTCGACAGCGACACCAGCCAACCATCTACATCCAGCGCTGGTGCCGGAACCGCGACATCGTCGAAACCGTCAAAACCATGGCGACCTTGGCGTTGTTGTTTCTGCAAATACCGCTGCCAAAACGAGGATTCAATGCGGCAGCACTGCATGGAGAAACACGATGTGGACTGTCAGTACAAGTGCGCGTTGTGTTCTTTCAAAACGAACGACAAATCAGCCTTTCAACAGCATTTCGCAGCCGACCATGACAACAGGCCTATTGATACTGTATGTGTTTACGTATACTTGGAAGATCAGCCTAAGGAACAGGAGCAGAATCCTGAGTTTGACACGACGCCTTTGTGGCAGCGGGACAGGCCAAGGTATGTCCATTAGCCTTATTTTTTTTCCATTAGATTGTTAATGGCATTTCAAAAATACCCTTATGCGACATTAAGTAGTTTTGACAATTTTGTAAAATTATTCGCTTGCACATTTTTCTTCAATCCATTGAGTCTGTTCTGTAAACGATTAAATAACGATTATTTTAAATAGAGATAAGAGCTGTTTGAGTTTCAGAAATTAGACGTAAGGATTTACACTTATTTTTTTGTCCACTTAGGGTAAGACATATCCGCGGAATTCTTTTCGACGAATCATCACCTCCATCGTCCAAGAGTAAAAAGGGATCGAAAACCTCTTCGGCACCCGTAACGCCAGATACTAGTCAACCAGGTCCCAGCACTTCGCGTTGTTCTACGCCTCTATCTAAGGGCTTAACTACGCCTAGTAAGACGTCAAAATCACCAACAAAACCATGCAAATCTATCAGCAGGCAACAATCTTTGACCGAGCAGGAAACGACTAGGACTAATTTGGATTCTTCGATTGATGCAGTTGTTGCTGCAGCGTCTGCAAAAAGTACTAGTGATGCTTCTAGCAGACTCTCGGATAAGGTAATTATGTTTATTTTTTGATGCATCACTACGAGTGTTTTGACTGAAGAAAATGTGTTTACCTCATTCGTAATCTAAAGACATATCTAATCATGTGTTATTGACCAGTTATCATGCATGTTTCCACTCCAAAATGACCTACTCAATTTTGGTGGGAGGACACTTCACATCAGTGACGGATTTAGGGCGGGGACGCCCCCCCTAGACGTCTGACACTTGCTTTTGTAATCTAACACCATTGTGCATTTTCCATTTTTTTTAAGCTGGCATTGACCAGATAGAACACAATGGATTTAAGAAGCAATAATAGTATAAATTCTAGAAGTTCCACTGAGGTTGAAAAATTATCAGCCGCAAATATCTACCGTGCGCTTACATTTTGAGTTGCAAGGTGTGTAGGTAAAAGGCAATTGTAGTCTCTTCTCTAGTAACAGTGATGTTCACAGTTATGAAACATGCAATAGATATAACATTTGCCCTAATAGCCATCACCTTGACAAAACATAAACGAGGTAAATTTCGCTGAGTATTGAGGCTTTCCACAAGAAACTCAAAGAGTATCTAACAAAAAAAGCATTCTTCTGTATTGATGAATGTTTGACAAATACGTTTTGTGGTATGATTTTGTAAATGTTCACATTATGTTTTATTTATTTTACTCTGTTCCCCGTTTCCGCATGCGTTGATCACTCTGTTCCCAACAGTCCTGTGTACATGCAAATCCAATATCACGCCGTTCTCCACGGCGGCGTCGTACCCCTCTACGACCATCGTGCGTACCTAGACAGAATCGCGATTCGTCGCTGAAGATGACATTGTGCCATTCTGCCGTTCTCTGCTCCAGTTCAAACGTTGACGACACTCGTCCGCAGTCAGAGTAAGCCCTAACCGTGGACGGTATGAAAAAAGTTCAAGGGCTCTAATGCGGCGGTAGAGTGTAGAAACACTAGTAAATGAATAAAAATAACAAAAAATATCAATATGTACTACTCAGCTCTCAGAAACTGCTTTCTTCACAAAAACTAAGGGATAACATTTAAACAAGGTGGTAGATGGTCTCTGACTGTCGAACGCGGAGGTACCACCCGGCGGTTCTCGTAGGCGGAGCCAGAATGTGTGCATGTTGCATGCACACGTGTTCCCTCGCCAGAGTCCGTGTGGCGTCCCCCCTTTCCCATGTATCCCCCATAGCCCCACGGTACCCAATGGGTGCTTAGGCCTTAGGCCTTCGTGGTAGTTGGAGTATAAAAAAAAAAAAAAAAAAAAAAAAAAACAAAGGTAAACAAAAACAAAGAGAAAACGGTGACAATGTTGCCGCATCATGCTTTAAATATAGTCATTATGTTGCAAAAAAATAAGTTGAAAAGGTTATTTTTCTGGGTGTAACACTTCTTATGCCACTGGTATATATAACCAATGCAAAATCATCGCTCTTTTTCAAACTGTCTGCGTGTCTAACCCAGCTCGGATACGAATATTTCTTAGCCAGGATATCCGTTTGCCCCCATTTTTACCTTTCATGATTAGCTGAAGAAATCCATATTTCTTGTTTCTTAAATACAGAAGTCGACGTCAAGCCGAAACCGGGTGATAGGCAAAGTCATAACAGCTATCAGAAAAATATTTAAAAAAATTTTATGTATGTGTTCTGAAAATTATAGGTCTTTGAAAAAAATATAGAAATTTCACACCCTACGGCAGTCTGTCAACTCCTGTTACTACAAATATTAACTTTTTTTGGATTTTATTTTTACAATGTAATGATGAATAATGCATATTCAAACTGGTGTCTCAACCTTACTGCCAACTTTTCTCGTTCAGGAAAAATTGCCACTTATTTCCCAACCAAGTATTCCAAAGTAAAACTTTGCTCAACTTTAACTGGCTGTACTGGAAAAAAATGTACTACGAGAGTTTGGCAAGTAACCTTAAAAGTTGGCACATTTAATAAGGATTCCAAAATGGTATAACACTTAGAAGATTACTCGTTAACTTTTCACAATTTTTATTTGAAGAAAAACTGATGAAAATTTTTCAAAATTTCCTAATTAAACAGCGATTATGAAAACGCACAAGGACCCTTAAGGATAACTGTTTGCACAACAGTGGGCGTCAAAATGCTGCTGATGATGATTTACCTTTACAGCAAATGCTCAAACTGTTTTCCTTCAGCCGCAATACACGCTCGACATCTTCTTAAAAAAGATCGGGTAATTAAACGAGCGAATCCACGGTTATTAACAAACTCAGCTACTTCCAATAGTCTTTGCCGTAGCTCAGCTACATTTTGAATCGGCTTATTTATTTAGCATTAATGCTACCATGTCATTTTTTCTTCAATCCGTTTTCTGTAGTTTTACATTCTTGTCTATTAAAATTAAAATTATGTCACTATGTATTTTGATTATTCATAAAGTGATTTTCTAATTTCCCCTTAAATATTTTTAAATTCGAACACTGTTCAATATCATTATTCAATTTATTAAATTCAAATACTCCCTTTTGAAATATAGATCTACTAGTTATGCTACTATTACGATTTTGCAGATGAAAATCTATACTGCCTCTAGTTTCGTAGTTATGATAATGACTATTTAATTTTGTGAAGTTCTCTAAATGTGGTGGTAATAAGTGATTTTTTATTTTGATTATGAAAACTAGAACTAAATAATATATGAAATTTTTTACACCCAACCACTGTAGCTCTTCTAACATAGACTTAATCCTATAATATTTGTTTTTATTTAAAATGATTCCCATAGCTTTATTTTGTAGAATTTGTAATTTTGAAAATATATTTTCATTTGATGTAAACAAGACGGTTGAACAATATAAAAAATGTGGAAGGATTATAGTGTTATACACAATTTTGTACGGATACCTACTAAGATTATGGGAAACTCTATCTACATATATACAAAGATATTTAAATGACTCGACTACTTCAATTTTTTCATCATTAATCATGAGCCTAATTGTATTGTTACCTAAATTTTTCCCTATTGACATACATTTTGCTTTATTAGTGTTTAAGTTTATTGACATTTAACCAATTCATATTTTTTTCAATATCACTATTTAACAGTTCTAAATCAGCGTCCAAATGCTTATGTGCTATTTATATGTGTGTCGTCCGCAAATATTTGAATTTTGCAATGCTGTAAAATGTCAGAGATATAATTTATATAATATGACATAATATTTCCAACTTTAGTTTTTTGACTTCTATTTACTAAATAATTTTGTAAAATGTGTAATACTGATCCTTTAAAGCCATAGTGACGCAATTTCATTAACAATTTTTCCCTATCTATAGTCTCAAATGTTATATTGTTACAATATATTCTGTCTCATCTATACTTCCTCTCCAGTCTTCCACCACCATTTGGATTGCCGATTCTGTGGAACATTTTTTTCTAAATCCAGCTTGATTTTTTATCACAATTTTGGTTTCTTCAATGAATTATATTGTGGCTCAAAGTTTTTGCGTCTTTCCTATTGGAAAACAGGGTTGAACATTATCCATTGATCTCTAAAATCAATATGAACAGAGAATTGCACTATACTGTCGGCTGATCATTTAAATCTATTTCAGGTGACTGACATTATAGAAAAATGCACGAATGAGATTGCTAAAGAAAGAGATGATGAAACAAAGTTCGTTCTCGCAAAAATATCAGAGGAGCAGAAAGATACCAGTGTTATCGTGATTCATGACGAGGACTATGAACCGACTGCGAAGACCGATGCTCCAGCATCAACGTTCATTTCGATCAAAAATGAAGAGGACTTGATCGATTCGAATTTTGTCGCGCGGAGACCGATCAAGAGAAGAGCTTCCCAATCGCTTGAAACTGATTCTTCGAAGATGTCTAAATCGGACGTTATAGATTTAGTAAGCTGCGAAGACGACGACTTTTCCGACAAGAGTCTTAAAGAAACCTTCGGAGAGTTCGGATTACCCCTCCACAAGCAGCTCAAATGTCCAGTGTGTGGCAAGTTCAAATCCAAGAGGATATCAGACTTTATCTTCCACATGTATAAGGAGAAAAAGATTTATAGGTAAGCAGGCACAACTATTCGAACATTCGTTGCTACTATATACGTAACCGGCTAACTCTTTGTTAAATTGGCGGTAACTGAACTTTTCTAAGCATACAGGGTGTAAACGTTATGATAGTCATTATTTAAATGGGTGATAGAGGGGGTTCAAAGAAGCAAAAAGTTTCATATAACATGGGGGTTTCTTTATATTTTTTTATAGGATCCTCATACGCGACGTTTCTTTTTATTACGGTCACTATGGTATTTATTTTCCACTTGCCACAAACTTGGAAAACTTATACATTTCAATGAATTTCCCGAGAAAATCGTGACTGCATTGCCGCAAGTCTGACATTATTAGGTTTTTTGGGGAAAAGGAAGCGAACTGAAGTGGAGCTACTCGAGAACTGAGCCTCTTGGCTCAGTTCTCGAGTAGCGACGTATTGTCTGAAGTCTACACGTATTGTTTTGTCCCATCAGTTTTTCAATTTGACCTTGGATTTCATTTCGATTCGACAAGACGTACGTTTTTCTGTTTACACACTACGTTTTATTGGATCCGATTTGCCCTGTCCCACAAAACGTACACGTACGTGTAAACCCGTCTCAAGTCATTTTTTTAGAGAAAAGCGACTTTAAAGTAAAATACAATCTGACAACGCCGCAATGCCAGACGCAAATTACGACGGAACGCAGTGTAAATAAAGATTGAGTTTGTTATTTTTGGCTCTTAGGTATTATTTCATTATTTGATAATGTACTCGTAAAATGCAAACAATTAAAAAAACGGACTTACCACTAACTGTCTCAGCGCTTCACCTGGTGTGTGAAAGTTTATTGAACGTATTAAAAAAATCCACTTATAAATAGGGAACACAATTTTGATACATACATTGTTTTTCTTTTTAAAACCCACACTGCACTTTTTTGTATTTAATGAAGGTGTTCAAAATGTCGTCCTCCACTTTCCACACAAGCTTCATTACGACGAACCCAGTTTCTTCTTACTCTAGGTCCTCGAAGTTGTCCATTTATTATTTCAGCCGCCTTAACATGTTTTTCGCGAAGTTGTGCTTCAGTTGTTATAGGACCAGCCCCATAAATCATCCCTTTAAGTTTTCCTCAATACAAGAAATCCATCGGATTGAGGTCAAGAGATCTTGCTGGCCATTTTCGAGGATCAGGAGCATTTCGACCGATCCAGCGATTTGGATAATGTTCATTCAAATACTGAATAATGCCTCTAAAAATGTGTGGTGGTGCCCCGTCATGACGAAGCCACAAATTCTGTCTCCGTTGTAATGGCATGTTGTCTAAGGTCTGTTCCAAAACTTCTGGTAGGTTATTGGCTAGAAAATTAAGGTATCCTTCTTCTGACAACTTTGGGGGTAACTCGAAAGGGCCAATTACCTGATCGTCAAGAATACCCGCCCAAATATTTATTTTAAGACGCTGTTGGAAATGACCTTCACGAATGGTATGAGGATTTTCTTGGGCCCACGTGTGAGTATTATGGAAATTTAATATCCCGTTTCGCGTAAAAGTACATTCGTCCGTCACTAGAATGTTTTTAAAAAAATCCGGATTTTCAATGTTTTTGTGCAAAAACCAGTGCCAGAATGTTAGTCTGCGAGGATAGTCTTCTGGTAACAAGGCCTGCACACGTTGTACATGGTAGGGATAAAGCAAATTTTCCCATAGGATTCTATGGACTATGGTATGCGATAGTCCTACGCGGCGGCCTAATTCCCGAGTGCTGATATCTGCATTGATTTCCACGATATTTAAAATTTGTTCCTCCTGCTCTACAGTAACGTGTTTTTCACGAGTGCGTATATTAGTGGGCTGAACACTTCCTGTATCTCGAAGACTTTGGTACACTTGCACAAATGTCCTTCTGTCTTGGTGTACACCCTGTATGTTATGTGCTTGTGCATCGTCAATGTAGGGTTTAGATTGTATCAGCTTTAACAAACACTAGATGGTGCTGGTTACCTCTGAAATCAGGTTCCTGAATGGTTCATACACATTGGTTTTTCCTATTTTAGCTGTCATACATTCATATTATATACCGAGATCACCATGTAGTTCATAAAAAGTATTCCCAATAGCAGTATATAAATGTCATTTGTCTGTTTAGGTTCAAGTGTTTGGTATGTGGCGATGAAAGCATCACCTATCGTTACATGTACAAGCACGTATTGGAGCACACAAAGAGCATTGAAGGGGTAGACGAGAAGATATCTCCACTACCGTCAAATCCGAGAATGGAAGCGTGGCTACAGTTGCTCATTAATTATCAGACCTCCATAATTTGCAAATACTTGCAGCAGGTGCAGTGTGCGCAGAGTATGCTTCACAAGATCGCTAAGTGTCAAACGTGTGAGAAATGGTAAGTGTCAAATTTCCACTTCATATATCTCTAAAACACACTACAATATAACAAAAACACGAATTCGAATAGATTAGGAGCCAAGCCTATATGTTTGCATTGTTTGACGCCAAAATTCCATAGTTTTTGTGCGTATTTTCAACTCATTTGTCGACCAAAGTGATAGCGTTATATCAACATAATAATACTTACCGGTAGAAACATCTACCTTCATTAGGCTTGTGCCGCTCTTTGCAAATTATGCAAGAAGTACCATGTCTTGAAATCATCTAAAATCTTAATAGGCTACGTGACTCACCTAATTTCATAGAATTAATGAGTATTTCATACATATTTCAATTTCAATTTTTAAAAGCGAATGATGGATAAGTAGGTCCAATTTACAAAAGTATATTTTTCATTTTTAATACGAAAAGGTGAAAACAACATGATGTGACGTCATACAAATTGTGAACAAAGAAACGTCATCCGTATGTCACTCGTGGACTAAAGTTGTCTTCTGTGAATATTTATAAAAAAACTCCTAATCAACGTAAAACGTTATCATCATCATCAAGAGCTAAAAATAAAATTTTGGAAAGTAGCAACAATAAGCAATTAGAAGAAGTATCATTACTTACTAACTTACACATAGTCATCGAACGAAAAACTGGATTGTTGAGGTTAAATTAGAAATTAGAAATTTTTGATTATTACTTATTGGTAAAACCCCAAAAAACCACTAAATCTGTTATAAACATGGCGGACACCGTTTTCGTAAGAAAAATAAACTTTTAAATTAAAGTTTCAGTGTCTTTTAGTTCTGAGAAAATACTATCTTTGTTTTGTTTAATAGAACATATAGTATATTAACTATTTAAGACCTACTCAAAAAAAAATTCATGTCGCCTATTAGCGGCAAACACTAGCACTTTCCAAAAATAACACCAAATATACGATTTTAATGACAGAACTCTCAAAAAATTGACTTGTTTCAAGTGCATGTTGGTCTTCACTATAGACGTATAACAATTATAATTATGAGACAAACAAATCCCTGACTGACTCCGACCTAGTTCGAATTCGTGATGGAACGGTCAAGTGTCGCCCACCACATAGGCGTCTCGTACCCCAGGGGAGTACTAAGTACTCACTATCTTACCATCTTTGGCGTACTATGCAATAGTTGCACAAACTACGTTGAATGGGATCTGTTTGCTTTCCGTCTTTGTGTAAATAGTACGACAAAAAAATGGGGAAGATAGACGAAAGGCAGACCTAGAACATACCAAAAAATGATGCTAGTAAAAGTTTCACTGTTTTTGAGATATTAATTTTGTCTTTTTCGGAAAATTTCATCGTTTGATCTATGTTTTGTTGCTGATTAAGCAGGTAATTTATCGCAGTACTTTGCAGTAGCGTCTAGTACATTTTTATCCTGTTATGTCCAGACAGCAAAAAAAGAGATACAAAAAATTAATACCTCAAAAACAGTGAAACTTTTACTAGGGTCATTTTTTGGTATGTTGTAGATTTGCCCTTCGCCTATCGTCCCTATTTTTTTGTCGTACTATTTACCGGACATCCTGTATAATCAACCGCATAAAACGTTGTTTCATGCTTTTTAGCAGTCATCATTACAACGGAGAGCAGACAATATTTTTATTTGCCCTATCATCATGACAACGACGGGATAGGGTTGAAGTGTTACAATGTTAACTAGTATTACGACTGCTTTTTTGAAGTTAACATGACAAAATAAAATGCTGAATATGAGGTTTCGTTTGTGAATAGTCTTAAAGGTTTGCATTTGCTTTTTCTATAGGTTTAAATCGGAAGCAGAGCGGAATGAACATACCATGTTCCATTGGAGCTTGTTGCCGTATAAGTGTGATATGTGTCAGTACTCATCTTACAGCAAAAACTACGTGGAGAAACATTTAGAGACGGTTCATAGAAGTAAGTATTTTTTTAACAATATCTTGCCATAGTGTGGTCTGAGCGATGCCCATTTCTTGGCACGGGAACATCCAGCAACGAATATGTGGACTCAAATTTTTTTCCTAGACTATGAATTGCTTGTCTACTGGGACGAGAATTACGACCAAAAATTCTCGTTAACGCTCTTAAAGTTGTCACCGACTCGGAATTTATTATCTGAAAGCGTTGTTCGTTCGTGTACTTCACCATGATGAAAATGTTTTCTTTAATGAATGTTTTGACGTTGACAGTTCGGTAATTGATTTAATGGTGCGTTCACAGTGAAAGTTCAAAGTTGTCAAGTCCCTATTAGAAAACACGATACAATATATTCAGTAATTATGGCATCTATCAAAAGCAACGTTTTTATCAGAACCATGGTGCTCACAAGTGCCACTGTTAAATTTTACGCATGATATGCGTAGAAATTTTTGTTTTTAAACCTTCAACTATTTTTCAATTATCATAGGTTCATCTGATAACGTGATCCGATGTGCACCGACTATCAGCCTGGACCTACAGTACAATGATGGTTTGCACATGGATGAAGTAAAGGCGAACGAAAAGTCTCATGTGATCGTCTTGGATTCACCTAAACCACTTCTCAAGACAGAGAGCCGTGATGTTCTTCCAAAGGACACTGCTCCGAAAGACCTGGATCTCAATTCTGTCTCTACCGAGACAGTTGACAAATGGATTCAGCAGCTACAAGAAGTGGTCCAAAGTAAAGGGGCGGAAAATACTAGTGCTTCTGAAAGTACCCAATTTGGAGTTCAAAACCGGGAGGAAGAACAACCAAAAGAAGTTTCGGTGATCAGAAACAATAGTCAAATGGAGCTGATTATTGATCCGGACAAATTTAAGGTAAAGGAAATTGCAAGCTTATAGACACAATCAAAAACTGCCTAACCTTAAATTAGACGTTTACACCCTGTATAATCTACATCTGAAATGTTTGCCAACCAAAAATATAATAGGTTATAAAGGGTTGTCCTATTGGGACGCAGGAAAGTAAACGTCAATTTGACATAGACGCAATCTTTGTTTTCTGTCACCGACATGTCATTTTGTTAGTTGAATGTTTACCATTGATCGCTATGGAGTCGTATTCGATTGAAGACCGCATTAAAGTTATTCAAGAGCACTACAAAAATGGTGCAAAAATGAAAAACACGTTTCGCGCGCTTCGTGAACATTTCGGTCGCAACAACCGCCCAAACGAAACAACCATCGGTCGTCTGGTGCGTAAATTCGAGGCAACAGGTTCTGTGGCAAATCTGCCAGGCTCTGGCCGGCCAAGGAGCGTTCGCACACCGGAAAATATTGCTGTTGTGAAGGAGAGTGTGAGAGACGATCCGAAACAATCAACAACGCGTCGATCCCATTTCGAGAACCAGTTTACTCCGCATTCTCCACAAGGATTTGAATGTACACGCCTACAAGATCCAATTGACGCAAGAGCTGCGTCGGGCCGACCATTTTTCTCGCCGAACGTTCTCAGATTGGCTCCTTGAACACTGCTAAAGTGATGCCAATTTTTCATCAAAAATCATGTTCAGCGACGAAGCGCATTTCACTTTGAATGGGACGGTAAACAAGCAAAACTGCCGCATCTGGGCGAACGAACATCCCCGTGAGTATCAAGAGCAGCCTATGCATCCTCAAAAAGTGACTGTGTGGTGTGCATTGTGGTCAAAAGGCATCATCGGACCTTACTTTTTCGAAAATGCGGCCGGGGACGCCGTTACCGTCAATTCTGAGCGATATCACGTGATGATAGAGAACTATTTTTTGCCGCAACTTGAAGGAATGGATATGGACGATGTTTATTTCCAACAAGACGGTGCAACATGCCACACAACCAACGTCAATATCCATCGATTGCAGTCCTTCTTCGGTGATCGCGTGATTTCGCGCAGAGGAAATGTGCCATGTCCACCAAGATCGTGCGATTTGACTTCCTTGGACTTCTTTTTATGGGGATATTTGAAAAGCAAAGTATACGTCAACAAACCAGCCACCCTCCAAGAACTCAAAAACAACATCATTGCCGAGATAAATGCCATAGAACCGACCATGTTGCAAAATGTCATTAAAAATTTAGACCATCGCGTGGACGTCTGTAAATCCAGTCGTGGTGAACTTTTGAGCGATATTATTTTTCATACATAAATGGTATAAATGAACCTTCAAAATAAAGTACCCAACTTGATTTGAATATCAATTTTTCTTGTTTTAATATGCATTTACTTTCCTGCGTCCGTTTTGGACTATAGAAGTAATAATAGTAAAAAAATACTCTCGATGAAACAGTCCTGACGAATCATTGGACTTAACAACAGTTACATGCTTCAACACCATGCATGATTTTCTAAAATGAAACCAACTGTACGTAGGCTATTCTTTTTGGTGTTGCAGGCTCTCTTTGACACCGCGCCAATTGGTGAATCCGACCTCACCGATCCGTTGGAGATAGACGAACCTGCTCCCACCCCCGCCGACCTGATGGCTGTCAGCAAAACGTCGGAAGCGGTAGTACCTATCATCGGTGACGCGTACTGTTGCGAGACGTGCGTGTTCATGTCGGATTCGGAAACGGTCACCGAACAGCACATCCGAGACGTGCACTTTGGTCACGGCAAGCTTAAGGTTTTGAACACGTTGAAATGCGAAGAGAACAGCAACGATTACGTGGCGTGCCAGTGGTGCGACGAAGCGGGCGACGAGATACGGATCAGGAAGCATTTCATGCAAGCACATCCAGGAAGGAAGTTTAATATTTATAGGTGAGTGCTGATTATAATAATATAGTCTAATCATACACTGATCAACAGCCAAAAAATATCCTACATAAAATCAACAAAATATTACTATTTTTAATGTGCTAAAACCGGAATGAAACTTATTTTTTCAATATTAGTTCAAGTTTTAGAGATACGGTAATTATATGTGTTCCTGCTGTGACAGTGTTAATATACTGTAATTCACAAGAATGGAAGTGCTACATTTTTATATTCGGCAAGGAAAGATGATGTAATCGGCATGATTGTGTTACGTTATACATACGTGTACATTATATTGTTTTATATTAGCCATTTTTTCCTCAGTTGGCTGACAGCGTTCATGCAAGATGTCTCGAAAGTGTGTAAACAATCCAGATCAGTTTTGTTACGTGTGTGGTGATGTGACTTTTGCTTCTCAGAGACGGTCTATTACTCCACTAATAACAAAGGCATGTCAGCTTTATTTCGGTTGTAAACTAGGTGATCAAGACAAACAGTGGGCACCCCACATCTGCTGTAATACATGTGCTCAAGTCTGAGGAGCTGGTTAAATGCCAAAAAACGGTCTATGCGCTTTGCTGTCCCAATGGTTTGGAGAGAGCCTACAAATCATATTAATCATTGTTACTTTTGCATGGTACCTTGTGTTGGACAAGCCACAGGTATGTCCAAGAAAAAAAAATCGGTTATTAACTACCCAAACATACCATCTGCGATGAGACCTGTGCCTCACAGTGACGAAAATCCTATTCCAAAACCCACAGAATCCTACACTTGCGAATCAGAAAACGAATCAGATCATGGCGATCGAATGATTCGTCAGGAAGAAGATATGCCATCAACGTCAAGAGATCCTGATTTTATACCGAGCACGTCATGCCACCAACCCCACAAAATAACACAGTCAGAATTAAATGATCTTGTAAGAGATTTAGAACTTCCAAAATGTAAGGCAGAGTTACTTGGATCAAGACTGCAGCAGTGGAACTTGTTAGAAGACGATGTTTCGGTATGTGTTTTTCGTAAACGCCACAAAGACTTAGAACCATTTTTCAATATGGAGAATAACTTGGTTTTCTGCAGTAACATTAACGGCTTACTGGCGGCTTTAAATATAAACTATAACCCAGAAGAATGGAGATTGTTTATAGACAGTTCAACATTGAGTTTAAAGGCAGTGTTATTGCATATTGGAAATATTTTACCATCTCTTCCCGTAGGGTATGCAGTTCACATGAAAGAATCATATGACAATATGAAGTACCTATTGACATGCATAAAATACGATGAGCACCAATGGCATATTTGTGGCGATTTGAAAGTTGTTGCACTTTTACTTGGGCTGCAGCTAGGCTACACAAAGTTTTGCTGTTTTTTGTGTGAATGGGACAGTCGGGCAAAGGCACTTCATTACACCAGACAAAACTGGCCTGTTCGTCAATTTCTATAGCCAGGTCAAAAAAATGTACAGCATATGATATTAGTAGATTCGAAAAAAAATTTATTACCACCACTGCATATCAAGTTGGGCCTAATGAAAAACTTCGTCAAGGCATTAGATAGAGATGGGTCAGCTTTTCAATACCTGCGTCAGAAATTTCCAAGACTAAGTGAGGCAAAGGTTAAAGAAGGTATTTTTGTTGGGCCACAGATTCGAAATATTTTGAAAGATACACAGTTTGAAAACACTTTAACAAGTATTGAAAAAACTGCTTGGAATGATTTCCGTCTGGTGGTCACTAATTTCTTGGGAAATAGAAAAGCTGACAACTATAAAACCCTTGTCAAAAATATGCTGTCATCGTATCAAAAGATGGGCTGTAATATGTCTCTTAAGATACATTTCCTACACTCACACCTTGACTTTTTTCCTGACAATTGCGGAGCCGTAAGTGTTGAGCATGGCGAACGTTTTCATCAGGATATTTCAACAATGGAAAAAAGGTACCAGGGAAAGTGGAATCCTTCCATGCTTGCAGACTACTGTTGGACTCTTGGTAGAGATGCTCCAGAAACGATCCATAAAAGAACAGCAAAAAGACAGCGCATATAGTGATTCTTATAAGTATATGAATCTTGTTACTTTTTTAATATATCCTTAAAAATAAAAAGTTTTTTTTTAAACCGCAACTAATTTTTTTATTTCATTGTCATTTTTGGATTCAGCGCCCCAAAATTAACAAAGAAGTGCACTTTTCCCATAACATACATATACAATTAAAAAACTAAAATTTGTTGTCCAGTAATTAGCAAATTTTCCCGGAATAATTGTAAAGTCTGGTTTTATCATGTTTTGCGAATGGTCGATTGATATAGCATAGCTTATTTTTGACTTTTGTTCCAGATTCAGTTGTGCGTACTGTCCTCGCAAGTTCCTTCAAATGGCCGGCCTAAAGATGCACAGTCAGCGAGTCCACATGCAGTACCCGATACGTTACGAATCTGTAAAGGAGAAGCTGGTTGGTTGGGACTTCAACCTTTCTGCTGCCACGAAACGTTTACGACACGTCACATATCCTAAGCAGACGAAACGGTACCAGTGCCCGATGTGCAGTTATTGCCGGGTATGCGGACCGGAGTTCCTGAACAATGTGCGGTCTCACCTACGCACGCATTTCAAGCTGTTCAAGTGCGTTATGTGTGACGAAATGTGAGTATAGTTTGACGCTTTTCATTGTACTGTGTTATCTTTTATAAACATTTACTATTACTGTCTGAAAACTTCTCACAGTCAATTTAAATTGAAGGTACTGAATAATATATAACCATTGAGAAAATGAGTCTTACATTGGTAAGAGTTTTACCGTTTTGGATAATACATAGCACTTCAACATCGATCAAAGAGAGGGTAACTTCACACTATAGTTTAAAATAAACCAAATATCATGGGGATGGGTAATTGAAAAGTTCTTTATATCGCAATAAGATAGGTCATCAATTTTAACGTCTGATTGTTATATGGGGTTGTCCAAACCGGACGCAGGAAAGTAAACCCATATTAAAACAAGAAAGATTGATATTCAAATCAAGTTGGGTACTTTATTTTGAAGGTTCATTTATATCATTTATGTATGAAAAATAATATCGCTCAAATGTTCACCACGACTGGATTTACAGACGTCCACGCGATGGTCGAAATTTTCAATGACATTTTGCAACATGGTCGGTTATATGGCATTTATCTCGGCAATGATGTTGTTTTTGAGTTCTTGGAGGGTGGCTGGTTTGTTGACGTAGACTTTGCTTTTCAAATATCCCCATAAAAAGAAGTCCAAGGGAGTCAAATCGCACGATCTTGGTGGCCATGGCACATTTCCTCTGCGCGATATTGACGTTGGTTGTGTGGCATGTTGCACCGTCTTGTTGGAAATAAACATCGTCCATATCCATTCCTTCAAGTTGCGCCAAAAAATAGTCCTCTATCATCACGTGATATCGCTCAGAATTGACGGTAACGGCGTCCCCGGCCGCATTTTCGAAAAAGTAAGGTCCGATGATGCCTTTTGACCACAATGCACACCACACAGTCACTTTTTCAGGATGCATCGGCTGCTCTTGATACTCACGGGGATATTCGTTCGCCCAGATGCGGCAGTTTTGCTTGTTTACCGTCCCATTCAAAGTGAAATGCGCTTCGTCGCTGAACATGATTTTTGATGAAAAATTGGCATCAATTTGGCGGTGTTCAAGGAGCCAATCTGAGAACGTTCGGCGCGAAAAATGGTCGGCCCGACGCAGCTCTTGCGTCAATTGGATCTTGTAGACATGCACATTCAAATCCTTGTGGAGAATGCGGAGCAAATCGGTTCTCGAAATGCCCAATTCTTGGGATCGACGCGTTGTTGATTGTTTCGGATCGTCTCTCACACTTTCCTTCACAACAACAAAATTTTCCGGTGTGCGAACGCTCCTTGGCCGGCCAGAGCCTGGCAGATTTGCCACAGAACCTGTTGCCTCGAATTTACGCACCAGACGACCGATGTTTGTTTCGTTTGGGCGGTTGTTGCGACCGAAATGTTCACGAAGCGCGCGAAACGTGTTTTTTATTTTTGCACCATTTTTGTAGTGCTCTTGAATAACTTTAATGCGGTCTTCAATCGAATACGACTCCATAGCGATCAATGGTAAACATTCAACTAACAAAATGACATGTCGGTGACAGAAAACAAAGATGGCGTCTATGTCAAATTGACGTTTACTTTCCTGCGTCCCTATTGGACAACCCTTTATAAAAGTTTGCATTTTATTAGGTTGTTCGGAAAGTTCTTGCGGTTTTTAACCTTCAAATTCAAAGGAGCATCTCTCAGCTTTAGCAGAACTTTATTAATCAAAATAAAAACCATTAGAATCAGTGCACTTTTGCCGACGAGAAACACGTTTATTAATGCCGCTAACGTAGAAATCCGCAGTTCTGGAAGCGATGAACTCATTGAAGGCATTTTTGGCGTCGTCATGATTATTGAAGCATTTCTCGCGAAGCAAGTTGTCGATGAGTTTGAAAAAGTGGAAGTCGGTGGACGACCACAACCTTCTTTTGGATAGAGTTTCGGCTTCGGGAAGAGTTGTAAAGATGTAAAAGCCTCGTCCACCCATGATGCAGAAGGTCGCCTGTTGTCGTAGAGAATCCACTTTTCATCACATGTCACAATCCGCTCGAGAAGACGGGCAGACTACACCTCAAAACGACGATTTTTCTGATCTCCGCTCAATTCGCTCATTGGAATATGTACCAATACCATGATAAGCCCTATTAAAGTAATTTGTTTTTTGGCAATTCTTGAAATAATGTATTCATAATGATCCTTTCTGTCACAACTTTTCAGAGATACACTCTATATACTATCTTGGCATTCTTCAACCAACAAAGCATGACGGCGAACTGACTTGCAGCATAGTCAGGAGCTATCTAGTCACCAAGTTGACATTTTGTCAATGTTTACATATGGCAAATTTGAAAAGTGTATCTAAATGAGAGCGTAGGTCGTATTGAGCCAATCTACTCCTCTCTTTCCAGTTTCTCGAGACGAGCGGAGGCCAGCGAACACCAACGTAAGTTTCATCCGCAAATGCCCGAAAGCATAAAGACAGAAGTAAGCGAGGCCATGCACGAGGTATGGCAGAGCGTGGTGAGCACGGCGGAAGTGGTGGACATCTCTCTACCGGCAACGACGACGTCCAGTCCGGCTCCCGCAGACGCGGGCCTCCAGGAGGAAGACTCTTCATCGGCCTCGTCGAGCACGTTCGGTCGGAACGTTGCCAAAAAGTCCACATCGACGCCGCACCAGCGGTCAGAAGCCGAAGTGGAACCGCCTGCTGTGGAGATGGATCCGTACAGTTATTATGGCACGGAGGAGGAGCCGTTGTTCTTACACAATATCAAGACCAAGGTGAGTTAATTTTCAATTCGTAGGAACATTTTTCGGAAAGAATGAAATACAAATTATTTGACATAGTGTAGGTTTAGAGGGGACTGTTACGGAAACTCAAATCCGATTTTAGAATTTAGTAGATACAGCCAGCAAAGGAAAATCTTTCGGGCGTCGATGACAGTTTGTAGTGGCAATCATTACAGCCTAAGCCAGGGCACTGAGGCTGGGATGAGGATCCCAAATAAACCGCCGGAAAATCCGAGTTTTTAATTGCCTAAGGACCGATTTAACAAAGATTTAAATCTAACGGGGTCTTCGACCAATTAGGGAGCAGCTTATCGAAATGCAATTTGACGGAAGCTGTCGAAGCTCTCCTAGTATCGCTAATTTCTATTGAAATATTGAATAAAATCGTGAAAAAGCAGTTGCTTTATATATAAGGGTGCAATATAGATGTAATATTATGTCTTTGAGTTTTAGAATTAGGATAACTTTCATAGAATTTCCAGTTTCACAAAAGACGGTCAGTTATTTAAATGGACCAATGAAAATGAGACAAATAATAGGTCAATTTTCTAGCTATTTTTAATGGGATGTTTCACTGTCCATGCATGGCAATCTAGTTTTGTCTCTTATATCACGTACAGGGTGTTGTAAATAATACGTACATGTAGAAATGTACCGATTTATTTTTCCCCATCAACAGATGTAGATGGTCCCGGAATGGTAACATCTTTTAGAGCACGATATCTTTTAGGGGTGTAACCCAAAAGGATATGTTTCAAATTGACCTTTCACTAAAGTGCTTCGAGCAAACCCTAGCGCTTTTTATATTGACTTTGATTTCACTTTTTGTATGATGTAGCCATCTTTTGCTAAGGTTTGGGTCTTGAGGAAAACTGTGGAACTTCATGTCTTTCAAGGATTCCGTTTAGATTGGTTGTCGGAATTACATCCCACAACAGCACACCGCATTTTTATCAATTTACTAACATCACAGGGTATATAAAGTATGTATAACTAATACACCAAGTCACAAACGCACCAAAAATCACCAACAAATCGCGCACTATGCAGGGTGTTTCAGTTTATTGTTGCATAACTTTAAGATTCGATAGAACTTTTAAAATTAATGCATAAAGTCTATATAGACATGGGTCGAAAAATGCGTAGCTTCCGCATGTGATGAAATAAGGCCTTATTTGAATAATGCTATACCACGTTCGATCATTCGTAGATGTGAATTGTGTATTGAACAATTGGGTTTACATTTCGAGCAACTACTTTAGATTTTGTATGTTTGTCCTAACTATCCAATAGCATTTTAGTTGTAAATAATTAATTTAATTTGTTAAAAATAATACTGGAAAATTAAACAAATTAATATTCTGTTTTTTTTTTGGGTTTATTTGGAGTTAGAAATTATTGCTGTGTTTAAAAACACAATCTAAACGATCATCTTAATTACTTGTAATGCCCAAATCGAAAATGTAAAAAAAAATATTATTTTCCCATAAATAATTAAAAATGCATCGAACCTTAAAAATCGAAATATCTCCAAAACGGCTAACTATAACGAAAATTCACAAGAGAGCTTTTTTATGTTGAAAAGTGCGAAGAATCAGTTTTTTTATTCAAAAAGCAAAAAATTGCACTAGGAAAAAATTTTCGGTCATTTAATACAGTAAAACTATGCCCATGGTTCGTTTTGTCGTACCAAAAAATCCTTGTATACCAATTTTCACTGTTATACATCAAATATTGTTCGAAATATTAAAAAAAAACTATTTTAGAAAGTAAATTTATTATTTCGGAAGCCACGCATTTTTCGACCCATGTTTATATAGACTTTATGCATTAATTTTAAAAGTTCAATCGAATCTTAAAGTTATGCAACAATAAACTGAAACACCCTGTATAGTATTAACCTAGATACACGTGCACTGCAGTAACGTTACGACAATCCTGCCACTGGTAACCACGAGCCGACAACTCTCTGGGTGACGTCACCAAGCTCCGCCCACATGCGCAACATCCTATCTTCAGTGTATGTGGATCGTGGGTTGAGCTGCTTTGGTACATCATATTTAGATTTTTGTATACATTAGTATTGAGATCGTAATAGTGCTTCATTTATTTACAGGTTGAACTTAACGGAGTTTATATGGACATTTCCGCTGATAAGCTTGCTCGTATATTTGACCTTGGCGCTTGCGTTCTTGTGGAGGATTGTAAACACTTGTTACCAGCCGATCAGATCTCTTGACCATCACATCACGAGGAATTGGAGATGCTCGACTTTAATTTAGATGAGCTGAGTGCGGAAAGTTTTGATCTGGAAAAGATCATACCTTCTATGGACGACTTATTTAGCGATGATGATATTGCAGGTTCGAACTACTTGGGGTAGGAGCATTTTTTCAATTTTCTTGTCTTTTTTGTTTGGTTGATCGACGCCATATCGGACAGCTTTAAATGGTTTCGAAGTAAGAACCTTGTACTTTACCAAAAATTTAGATAAATGACTTAAGTTTAAATTTATATATTTAGGAATTTTCCAGATACTTCAGATAGCATTAGCTTTAATACCGTAAGGACGGTGTTGGTATGTTGACTGTTGGTTGAAGAAATCACGGAATTATAGTTGCGTTACGAATAAAAATACAAGGTTTTCATGATGCCTTCGCTAAGCAACACCTAGAAAAAGTAAAATGAATATGAATTTCCAAGTATAAAAAAAACATACTTTTATTTTTATACTTGTGTTTTTTCTAGACAACATTTTACCAACACTGTCATGAGACACTTCCTATTATTTGCTAAAGTTTACTTTTCTTAAATACTGATTTGTATTCGTCTTGCAACAGCATCTCTAATATAATTTTCATAGCTACCTCAAATAAATAAAGCAGATATCCACAGTGGTGTGTATGCTTTTTGATAAAACAAAACAACTGCATACACTAAGCTGTTAAGAATAAAAATATTTTTGTTGTAGAATGTTAATACGTGTTAAATATAGAGTAACTTTGTATCTCGACATTTTTTTTTCACTTACTTTATCCGTATCAATAATGTTAACATTTGGTGAGCTGAATACCAGCTTTTTTGATACATGTTAGTTTTTACGAATATTTCCATTGAGCTGTGAGTATGTAAATATTGTAATTATATAGGTTATGCAGGAAGTGCTTAAATTAAAAGCGCCAACCCAGTTACTGTATATAATTTTTATGGAGATAATCCCTTTTCCCTTTTCGGTGGAAATGTAAATAAATATTTTTTTCTAATTCATTGTTTTATTCCTCTTTACTGGCCGTAGGCAACTTTCCGTTAGTATTGTTGCAGCTTTCTATGCCAGCATCCTACTATTTTGCGTTACCCAATCCAGAGGTCGAGTTCTGTACTAATAGAATTATTTCGTTACTGCACTGAACTCTACAGATCCTAAAGATAATTTATTTTACTAAAAGCAAGATATTTGAATTTGTAACCAAATATAAATGCAACTTACGGGGGGGAGTTCACACTACCATGTACTGCTTGCGTCAGGAGGACGTGGAAGTTGATGCAAACACTACACACTCACCTTTGCAAGGGAAACTTGCTTAAAGTCCAGTCAGTTCTTTATCTGGTACGGAATGGCGGATTTTAGTGTTTGTTGTTCACCAAGTTTGTATTCAATGAAATACACGGCAAATATGACAACAACTATCGATCATATTTGTTGTTTTTTTCTCGACGCCCTTTACTTATCGGTAGCATCCGTGATAACTTTTAAACTCTATTATGCACAAGAAGTTTGCTGGTGAATCATCAAGTTTAATTTACTTGTCCCGTGCCCGCTATTAAATGTAAAAACCAAGCTGATGTACGATTGCACTAATATGACATTACGCATTAAATATTAATTTCTGAGTTCTGATTTATCTAAGAGATTTGGAGCTTTAAAAATTGGTGTTCGAACTAAATTCGCCTGGATCCCCGCCTGTCTAGGCAGGATTTGTTGCGCTTCGAGTATTTAGTCGTTTATCAGCATTCGTTGAGAGGAACTCGTTGCTCGACATTAGCACCGAACTTGACAAAACGCGGTCCAACTCTAAACTAAATTTAGGTGTAGACGAGCGCATTCCAATACCTTCCAACAACAAACGCCAACGACACATGTTGGATTTTAGGTCTGTACGCGGCTTTATATGCGATGAGCTTTTTGAAGAAGCAAACTCTCAAAAATGGAGAGAAGAAAACGAAACTCATGTTGGGCAAGAAGTTGGTTACCAAGAAGATTGCAATTAGGAGGATCAAGACTATTAGATGAATTGGCGAGAGACAAACAATACAATAAATGTATATTCACAAAATCAAATGATGATTGGGAGGTATATAAAACTCTTAGGAGTAAATGTGTATATGTAATTAGAGAAGAAAAAAGGAAATTCTACGATAAACAAATCGATAATAACAAGTGCGACAGTGTAAATATGTGGAAGACTTTAAAAAGACTGATCAATTCGAAGCCGCATGATTGTGTACATCAAGGTCAATTCGAAAACGGTACCGAAACAAAGTCTTTGGTGATTGCAAACAAACTAAATGAATATTTTGTGGAAAGTATTGTTGATATTGTGGGTACTGCCTGACTATATGAAAATCAGTTTCCAGGGGGAAATGTTGCATACACTTTCAAAATTTCACAGCGTATCATTGAATTATCTAAGAAAAAAAGTAAACAGTTTAAAATCAAATAACAACTGTGCCGAAATGACTACTAAAAACGTGCTGAAAAACTGTTTCGAAATTTTGGGATATCCTGTATTAAATTGGATCAATTGTTCACTGAGAAGCAGTTCTTTTCCTGAAAATTTGAAATGCTCTACAATAACACCAGTTCCCAAAATAGAAAATTCTAAAAGATGCAGCGATATGAGACCAGTAAATGTGTTACCAGACATTGAAAAATTATTAGAGTCCATAGTGCATGACCAATTAATGCAGTTTATAGAAGAAAACAAAATTTTAGTGGAGGCGCAAGCAGACTTTCGAAAAAAATATTCCACAGAAACAGCTTTCCAGTTGGCAACTGAGAATTGGAGAAAAGCCATAGACTCAGAAGAAGTTGTCATAGCAGTATTTTTGGATTTGAAGAGGGCATTTGAAACGATTGATAGAGATATTTTGTTAGGTAAATTGAAGGCATATGGTATAACAGGAAGTGTTTTAGATTGGTTTAGAAATTATTTGTCTAAAAGGATGCAAGTTACAAAAGTTAATGACAGTATTTCATCAAAAATTGAAAATACGTTGGGTGTTCCACAGGGCAGTATCCTGAGACCACTTCTTTTTATTTTATACATAAATGACTTACCTGCCATAGTCAAAAAATGCAAAATTCAGATTTTCGCCGATGACACTATGATTTATATAAGTACTAAAAATATTTATCTCTTATAACGTATAAATGAAGACTTGAATCTTGTCTCAAAATGGTTAGCATCTAACAGACTAAAATTAAATGCAAGTAAAACGAAAGCCTCGTTAATCGAAAAAAAACAATGTACAAATATTCAACTGAATATTGATGGTGAAGATATTGAATTCGTAGAAAATTTTAAATACCTGTGGGTTTTTGTTGAGTCTCGATTAATTTTTGATATTCATTATGAAAAAGTTATAAATAAGATTAGTAGTAAAGTGGGATATTTATCGAGAGTTTCTGGATGTCTGAGTTCATATAGCAGAAACATTATCTATAATACCATCATTCTTCCAAATTTCTTGTACTGTTCGACTACTCTATATTTAGCAAATAATTCCATTTTTGAAAGACTGCAAATTTTACAAAATAAGTGCATGAGAATAATACTAAATAAAGATAAATATACTCCAATTAGGCAAATGCTTAGCAAATTAGAATGGCTCAATGTAAAAAATTTTATCAAATATCTTGTAATGATATTCATTTATAAAGTAAAAAATAATATATTTCCATCAAGTCTAACTAATTTAACAATATCAAATGTCGACCATCATTTACATAATACCAGAAATAAAGATGACTTCCATTTAATGACCAAAAAGTATAACATATGCTACAAATCTGTATTCCGTCAAGGGTTGATTGAATATAATAAATTATACTCGGAGATAAAAGACCAGAAAACTTTGACAAAATTTAAAGTAAAATTGAGAAATCACTTGTTAAATCTACAATTATAGGTTGCCCAGCATTTACATCATACACTATATGGCTTGAATTTACTAGTTCTAAGTTGTTTACAATTGTTCTGTTTATGTAGCCAAATGTGCTAAATAAATCTTTCTACTACTACTACTACTAAAGATTTCTATAGGAACAAAACTGAACAAAAATTAAGTTATAAATTACGTTAAGGTAGAACATAATCATAATACATCTGGTATTTATTGATTATGGATTTTATGTCAACACAGGATGAAAAACTATGTTGTGTTTAGAGGGGTGATCAGGTTCCGCTTTCACAGAAATAATACAAAAAGTACTTTATAAGGCTGAATTTGCCGTTTATTGAGTATTCAATATTACATATTATTAAAAATATGATAAAATCGTGTATAAACATATAATTTGTGCTTACAAAATGTACTTCAAAGCGATTCAATGCCAAAAAACAAGCTATAACAAATAATTTTAACAACTGAGTCATACATTATGTCTTTATGATTTTATCTTTTTTATCCATTTTCATCGCTTCTTATGCGTATATTATATGTATATTTATGCTTTAAAGACGGATTTTATTCTTGTGTGTGTGTAAAACATGACCGTCCGAAGAATTTTTCTCGTACTTAGAACAATGAGTAGACAAGTGAGGGCAAAAAATTAAACGTCTTCAGGCTTTATCATCTTAAAGACGATAACATAAGTATTAAATTATCTGTACGTGTTCGAATCTAATAAGATTCATTCAGTATGTTCAACAATGAAGTTAATTGAAATTCATTAGGATTTCGGACTCAAAACATTGTGTTGAATTTACTTGCTTATGTGCTATCAAGATTCTCATAGCCAGTTATCTGTCTTACTTTAAAGATGTTTCGTAAGATTAGTGCTTGAACTGGGAGTGATTCTAAGTGTTTTCACAAGTACCTAACAATTCCTTTCTGATCCCTCCCTGTATGAAACCCTGTTTTTATTGTATAAATTCTCCACTCGAACGGCTAAAATCAATCCTTAGTAGAAATTATCTCGCTGGAATGACTCGTGAGTCATGGAAATAATATTTAGGAACGTTTTATCCGAAGTATGAAGTCCATAATTTGAAAACTTGTGTTTAGCAACTTCAAAGTTTTGCGACACTGTCTAATGAGGTACTAATTAAAACTCCGTCATTGTCTGTCAGAGGGGTCCGTAGGACATTTGCGCTTGGTTAAACGGCCATAAATATCTAACATTGAACAATATGACAAATGATAATATTCAAGGGTGGTCCTGATCCCCCTTCTGGCTTTTTTATATGATCGTTTAGAAAAAAATGTCTTATACAAAAATTATATGCACAATACAATACCCTTTTTTCATGTAGAGTTTTTCGACTGGAACACCCCATAGTCTAAGGGCCGTACCGTCAGTCATTCCTACAATTGTAGGACGCCTTTATCGCCTCCTTGATGTTCATAGTTTTCTAGTGGTTTTGAGGTTATGTTACAAATGTCTATTTGCATCAAGTTGTTCTTGCTTTTGATTTATATCAGCCTGCAATTTTCTATACGATTCAAAAAGAAAATATAGCCTCACAATAGGAGAACGCTGATGCTGACACGGAACAGTAGAAATCTAGAAATTCCCCAACCTTTCTGAAGGAGAGAAAATACTATGAAAATCAAAGAGGTCGTAATGGCGTCCTATAATTGTTGGACCGACTGACGATACCCGATTAGTAGGTTCTAAAAGGCAATAAATGAACCAATACGATCCTGCCATGAGGCTCGAGACATACGACTCTTTTCTCTGAGCTCTTCAGCGAGTTGTTCATTCGAAGTCGTTCATTTGAACGATACGATTACCGACCGCCCATGAAGCTGTCGAGAGTATTGTGTTGCCTATATTAACAACTCAACGAGCCAGAGAATAACATCATACTATGAAAATGAAATGAAGGGTTGTCTATGTTATTGTATTTATTTAAGTATTAATATTTTTGGTTGAAATTGAATGTAACGCATGTATACTGTACTACTATACTAATGGAACAGCGACGACTTGAAGCAGTGTTTACAAACAACATGTGACAGGGCAGTGCTTGAAATTACT